AGCCGGGTGGCGTGGCCTCCGTGAGGGGGAAGGTGTCGCCTGGGGTGAGCCACGTTTCTGTCAAGGCCATGATATCAACGTTCTCATCAAGGATGAGATCGTTGATGACCAGGGCCTTGTTGCAGAGGGAGCGGACATTTTGCAGTCCGATGTGGAGGGAGCGGTTGACAGAAGGGTGTGTGGGAGGGGAGGGGGGTCCAGGTTGTGAGGCAGGGGTGGGGGAGATGGGGATGAGGGAGGAGAGGTTGACTCCCCGGGTCTGTGTCCGGGGTGGCTGGCGAGAGTGGTGGGGAATGGGGCAGTCGGTGTGGCTGCTGCTGGACAGCCAACGCCGAGTGCCGCGGTGAGCCCGGCGGAGGATTCCCAGACTGGAGCAGAGGGAGGTTGTGGGAGGGTCAAGTGGGGATAGAAGACGGGAGGGACGGAGAGAGAGGAGGAGAGAGCGGGAGAGATGGAGAGGGGGGAGGGTTTGGGGGGAGAGAGGAGGGGGGAGGGAGGGAGGGGGTGAGGGGGCTCGGGTCAAAGCGGCAGCCATAGTGCGCACGCGGGGACCGGGAGCGGTCAGGTGGATGGCATTATCCCGCAGATTGGGGCATCGAGCCCAACAGGACCATAGTGGGCTCTGATGTGAGCCCTGGGGGGGGGGGGGCGCAGAGGGTTTTTTTTTTTTTTTTTTTTTTTTTTTTTTTTTGTGCGCGCGCACTCACCTGAAAACTAATCTATGACGTCGCAGTTCCCCGCTCCGTCCCCTCCCCTGCCTAGCTGCACTCGCTCCGGCGTCGAGTTTAAGTACCTGGGTCAGTAGGCCCAGGCTCCTCCCCGCGCTGTCCTGCTGCCGCTCCCCGACTGAAAACGACTCAGGAGCAATGGGAAATCTTCAAAGATACGATAGCTCAGGGTCTAAATAAATATATTCCCACAAAAGGGAAATGTGCGAGAACCAAGCCTGCTTGGATGACCAGGGATATTCTGTCTAGGATGAAAAAGAAGAAGATGGCGTACGACAATTGGCGGATGCAAGACACTGAGGATAGCAAAGCGCATTATAGAGAATGCAGGAGTGATCTTAAAAGAGCGATAAGACAGGCTAAAAGATCGCATCAGAAGAGGTTAGCGGATAACATAAAGGGGAATCCTAAAATATTTTATAAGCACATAAAGAAAAAAAGGTAAGTTAAAGGTAGGGTGGAGCCAATCAAAGACAATGACGGCAATCTTGTTGTGGAGGCTGATGTACTGAACGAGTACTTTGCATCTGTCTTCACAACGGAAACGGATGCCCCAAATGCCACAGTATTGGATGACAGGGTAGAGGACATAGATCAGATTACTATAGACAGAGAGGAAGTTCTGAAAAGATTGACTGGGCTCAAAATTGATAAGTCACCAGGACCAGATGGGTTTCACCCAAGGTTGCTATGGGAGATACGGGTTCAAATAGCGGAGGCTTTGGCCATTATATTTCAATTGTCATTGGACACAGGAGTGGTGCCAAGAGACTGGAGAGTGGCTAATGTTACCCCACTCTACAAAAAGGGGCAGAAAGACAAACCCGGAAATTACAGGCCAGTCAGCCTAACTTCGGTAATAGGAAAGCTACTGGAGACCATAATCCGGGACAAAATAAATCTCTACTTAGAGGAACATGAGGTAATTAGAGACAGCCAACATGGATTTGTTAAAGGCAAATCTTGCCTAACAAATCTAATAGAATTTTTTGAAGAGGTGACTGCGAGGGTTGATGAGGGAAATGCGGTGGACATTATTTACATGTATTTTAAAAAGGCTTTTGACACAGTACCGCATAAGAGGTTAATAAAAAAACTGGAGGCCCACGGTATTAAGGGGACAGTGGCAGTTTGGATTAAGAACTGGCTGAGTGACAGAATGCAGAGGGTAGTGGTTAATGGGTGTTTCTCGCAATGGAAGGAGGTGTGCAGCGGTGTCCCCCAGGGATCGGTATTGGGACCACTGCTCTTTCTAATATATATTAATGATCTGGACTTGGGCATAGGGAGCACTATTTCCAAGTTTGCAGATGATACCAAGTTAGGTAGGGTAGTAAATAGTGAAGAAGATTGTGACGGACTGCAGGCAGATATACACAGAATGGTGGGATGGGCTGGCATGTGGCAGATGGATTTCAATGTAGATAAGTGCGAGGTGATACACTTAGGTAGGAAAAATGATAGGAAGCAATATAATCTTGGTAGCTCAATCTTAAGGGGGGTGAACCTATAGAGAGATCTGGGCGTTCAAGTAAGCGATTCATTGAAGGTGGCAGAGCAGGTAGATAGGGCAGTAAAAAGAGCATTTGGTGTACTGAGCTTCATTAGTAGGGGCATAGAGTATAAGAGTAGGGAAGTTATGCTTAATCTGTACAAAACACTGGTTAGGCCTCAGCTGGAGTACTGCGTCCAGTTCTGGGCACCGTACCTCAGGAAGGATATTAAGGCACTGGAAAGGGTGCAGAGGAGATTCACGAGAATGATACCAGGAATGGGGAAGCTTAGCTATGAGGACAGGCTGGAAAAGTTAGGACTTTTCCCATTAGAGCAGAGAAGGTTACGCGGGGACCTGATAGAGGTCTTCAAGATCATGAAAGGTTTCGACAGGCCAGATAAGCAAAAGCTGTTTCCGCTGGTAGGTGCGTCTGTAACTCGTGGTCACAGTCTTAAGATATCTACCAAAAGAAGCAGAGGGGAGGTTAGAAGAAATGTTTTCACTCAGCGAGTTGTTAGAATTTGGAATGATCTGCTGAAAGGGCAGTGAAGTCCGATTCGATAACAGCTTTTAAGAGAGAATTGGATAGGTATCTGGAGAAGACAGGTTTGCAGGGTTATGGGGTGAAAGCTGGTGATTGGGGTTAGTGAAAGTGACTTGCTCTGTCAAAGAGCCGGCACAGACTCGATGGGCCGAATGGCCTCCTTCTGTGCCGTAACATTCTATGATTCTATGATTAGTGCCACTCCCTTTGCCTGCGTGCCAACAGTTTTGAATATCATCAGTATCACTGGGCGTCTTAGTGTCTCCTCTCCTTTCACACACCCTCTCGTATACATATCAAGTTGAGTAAAGGATACCAAAATGCGATTTCAAAGCAGTAATCTAATTTTGGAGCTCAGGTTATTTCAACTCATTCCCCTACCCACCAATTGCTCTCTCTACAACACGTCTCTAAGCCATCTGCTGTGCTCCATTGTTATCCATTTAAGTGGAGTAACAATTTCAAACCAGCCTATCCATCCAATTTTTCCCAAGATTTCCTCAATGTATCTATTGCTAACTCTAAGCATCAATCTTTGCAGTAAAGTAACATTCATTCATTTATCCTTGATTTTTGGCTTGATATAGCACCTTTCATATGCGGAGGACACCTCAAGGTGCTTCACAATATTTACTGTACACCACTACAGGATGGTGTATTTTGTAGACAAACACAGCAGCCATTTTGCGCATAACAATGTCCTACAAACAGCCATGAAGAGAATGACAAATTTTATCTGGAGGATTGATTGCCAGGACACCAGGAGAAACTCTCTTCTCTTTTAAAATAGTACCATAGGTCCTGAACAGGCAGCCAGGACCTTGGTTTAAGGCCTCCCCCAAATAATGGAACCTCCAACAATGCAGCACTCCCCCAGTACCAAAAGAAGTGTCACCCTAAATTGTGAGCTCAAACCCACAACAACAACAACAACACAGAAACAGCCCTGGTCGAAGTGACAAATGACATTCTGTCCATCTGCGACCAGGGTTCCCTCTGCCTCCTCGTCCTCTCTGCTGCCTTTGACACCATTGACCACTCTCTCCTCATCCACAGACCTCTCCTCTCACCTCAACCTTTACGGCTCTGTCCTTGACTAATTCAGATCATATCTCTCACACTGCCTCCACTTCATCTCCACAAATGGCTTCTCCTCTAGCCCCCACACCATCACATGCAGCATTCCTCAGGGCTCTGTCCTTGGTCCCCTCCTCTTCAATATCTATATGCTCCCTCTTGGTGACATCATCCACAGACGTAGGGTCAACTTCCACATGTATGCGGATGACACCCAACTGTATCTCTCTGCCTCCACCCTTGACTCCAGGACCACTACTGTCCTGACAGAATGCCTGTCAGATATCAAGTCCTGGATGAGAGCTAACTTTCTTCACTTGAACGTCAACAAGACTGATGTCCTCTTGATTGGCTCCTGTCAGCGCCTCCGCACCTCAGGCGCAGAGAGCATCACCATCCATGAATGCACACTCCACCTTACTAAGCCAGCCTGGTACCTTGGCATCTTGTTTTATCCTCAACTATCCTTTCTACCCAACATCTGTGCCATGATCCACTCTGCCTTCCCCCACCTCTGCAACATTGCCCGGCTCCGCCACTGTCTCACGCTGAAGGCCGCCGAAACCCTTTGAGAAATCATCCAGAACTCTGCAGCCCATGTCCTCTCCCGTACCAGGCTCCGTGACCCTATCATCCCCATCTTCGTTCGACTCCACTGGCTTCCCATCTCACAGAGGATACAGTTCAAGATCCTGATCCTCACTTTCAAAGCCCTCCATGGCCTTGCTCCCCACTACCTCTGCGACCTCCTGCCCCCACCCTCTGGACTTCCATCCCGCAGTCCCTCCGCCTCATCCCTTCCCTTCTTCAAACCCATCTCAAGTCCCTCCTTTTTGACCGTGCTTTCGATCATCCTGCTTCCCCTCCTACCGTCCACCCTCGCCAATCCCGACTCCCAGCTCAGGTCCGAAACACTGGACGTCCTCCCGATGTGAAAGGTGCTGTACAAATGTAATTTTGCTGTTGTTGTAATATATTATTGATGGCTTTTTTTGTTAAATAACGTTGCTTGGTAGTTGTTTGTCACTTGGGGCAAACTTCTCACTGTCACCTCAGATTTGTTAATTTTTTCTGTTGTGAAGTTTTGAGTGCGAATCGTTTCCTGTGACCTACTGCAGAGAAAAAAAAATCGACCTGTGATTTGCCCTGAAACTGAAAGACAAGAAGTCGTCTCGCTCGCCCAGGTTTGGTAATCATCAGTCACTTTTTGAAGAGCAAACTTTTCTATTCCCCCCCGACTAAAAGGTGCTTTCATTATTTTATTTCAATCTCAATAATTTTGATTCTGCTTCCAATGTGTGAAAGTTTGAGATAAGTGAGGTAACTTTTCAGTTGACTTAACTTGCAAGCAATGATGGTGATCAACGAGTTCAAGACACCAATCAAGTTATTTGAGGTGTACTTGTCGGAGCAGTTGATGTGTTTTATGATGCTTTGAACATTGCTGTTTCCTCTCGACAAGCAGCGACTTACGTATTCAACTGTGGTCACTGCAGCAACTTATCTTATTGCTTGCAAATGGTGTTCCTCTCTTCCACAGTGCCACGCAGTCACATCACCTGTCATCCAAGAAATGGCTACTTCTGATCAAGACATTTCAGATGAACTACAAGGTAGGCAGATGGTTTTATTTTTTTTTACCATCCCTTCAATAATGATAATAAATGAATCATCTACGTGTGGGTTGAGGGGGAAGCATGTGTCTATGGGTGGGGAGGAGGTGATAGGAAAGAAGAGGTTAAATTTAAATTTTCATTGCAGCCTTTCATTTAATCAGATTGGTGCTGAATGTGATTTTGTTTTGAATGCAAGCACACAGCAGATCAAAGATCCAAATAAGGCATATTTTTCAGGTGTGAGTTTTACACAAATACATTTATGCAAAGTGTGCAAACAGATTCGAAAGGTGTGACCTCCATGATGCAACTGAAAAAGTTTTGTTCTGTTTTCTCTCTCTCAATCTACATGAAGGATGTTCAAAGGCCATATTTCCTTTAACTATTAGTTCTGTGTTTCAATGGAAAGTTTACTCAATAAGCAAAGCTTGTTAAAACCTGCACCTTTTATGGATATGGTCTACATTTTGAAATTAATGTAAAACTATCTGATTTGTCCTTTGTAAGATTATCGTAATGAGTTCACTTGCTGTTGCACTGCCCCAAATTAGCAAGGCTGACCTATAAAAATTAGCCACAGGAATTTTTGTTGGTATTATGATAAGGAAATCGCTCCTTTAATGCTGTGTGTGTGTGTTGTATGATTTGTATAATCCACAACTCAGGGATGGAACGTCACATCTACACCTGTTAACTTTTTTTTCTATTTATAAACTGCAGAACGTTGGGACAAAATATAGTTATACACTGTTCACCAGTCTGTTGTCGGTGGACTTTTCTGCCTACTCGCAGGACGAAAGTCAAAGTAAAATGATTCTGCAGGTCAGACAATGAATTCAGATTTGAAGGATCCGAGGAATATTTAATTTTCCATGATATCTTTTGTGATGCTGGTTTGTTGTTGGGACCTGGGTGTGCATTCCACAGAGAAACTTAGATGTAGCCCAAGATAAACACCATCAAGAGTAACATATAACATACTTCTTCCTGTTGCTGAATCATAAAAGCTATGCTCATAGAATACTTAGAATACTATGCTCATCACATCCTGTGCATATTAAAAAGTATGATAACTTCCCTGTGTAATATTCTTAAAATACTGTGATCTTCATTTTCTCTTTAGGGAGAGCGCATTAAAACAGAAAGGTTAATTCCCAAGTTCCCATAAATTAATGCTCTTTTGGTTCTATTCTTTCAATATTATCTTACAATTTTACAGTAAGCACATTTCTTTGGTTCTCTGTAAAAAGGAAGAGCTGTACATTCCAGAGAGTGAAAGAAATAGGTCATATTAATAGTACATGTTGACGCTGATGTAAATGTCGAGGTTATGTAAAATTCAGCCCAGGTATTTTCCCTAGAGGTAATCTGACAACAATTTTTTTTCCATATGACGCTTCTCTAAACATTCAACTTCAGATTCTGCCCTTTTCACTCCAATTGGCCAAAGGGGAGATATCTATGTATATCTGTCTATATGAACACTATGGCACTTGTATTTCAAGAGCAGTGCTGCTTCTGATACCGGAAGCCCCCTTTATGTTGTGGCAAATGTGACCTGACCAGACCACATTATTTCTGAGGATCTGAACTCAATTGAATTAGAAAAATAGCCCAGCAGTCAATTACATGTGCCCCTCCTACCCCAATGTTTTTGGAAATTGTCAAACCCTAGCTGAGGTCAGTTAACTCAGCCCAGATCAGCCTCACCACCTTCTGGTCTGCTCCACGTCCCCCGCCCCAACCGCCCTACCATCGGTGGTCGGGCCTTCAGCCTCTCAGCCCCCAGGCTCTGGAACTCCATCCCCCAGTGCCTTCGCCGCTTCCTCCCTCTCCTCCTTCAAGGCCGGTCTCAAAACCTTTCTCTTTGACCGTGCCTTCAGCTCCCCTCTCGACTCTCTTCCCCTCCTCGCTCCCTCCCTTCCCTCCCCTCACCCTGACCATTTCCCCCCTGCTCGGGTCATGACCCAACTGTGCAGCGCCTTGGGACGTCCTCCTGACGTGAAAGGCGCTTTATAAATGGAATCTTGTTGTTGTTGTTGTTGTTGTTGTCTTGGAGTTCTGCAGTTCAGTGGTTAGAGAACTCACCTCGCAAGCGAGGTTGGGAAAGTTTCCTTACACCACACGCACCTGCTTACCTAGCAGTAAGTAGGAACCCGGTCATTAATCGGTAGTAGGATCGCTTTTCCAGGGGTAATAATTCCTTCAAAAAAATAATAATAAATTGGTGACTTTAATCCACGACTGTTTGTGGGGCACTGCTGTGCGCAATTGGCTGCCGCATTTTGCCCACAAAATATACAGTCAATTCACATTACAGTATATTCTGTGAAGCGCTTTGAGATGTCTTGACGATGTGACAAGGCGCTATATCAAATGCAAGGATTATTATAGTCTAGGTTGGATCAGGCAGTGTATTATAATACCAAATTACATTGTACAGCGCCTTTCACATTTGGAGGACATCCCAATTTGCCCACTCGATTGTGGATGCATGTCCTCCTAATATTACGATGTGTCTGTTACTGAACTCGGAACTTTAGGGCACCTAATCTCAGTGAGCTACAATGATTTTTTGCTTCATTACAGAAAGCATAAGTACGATTCTGAAGCCAAAGAAAGTAGAGTTTATGAAGAAAGTGAAAGTAACGACAAAGTTGAAATCTGAAGAGAAAATACTGGTATGTAATACAATTCTATTCATGTCTGAGATCATCTTAAAATCAATAAGAGGATCAAAAAGAGAAACAAGATATACACAGGAGTTAGAAGGAATGGGTGGAGACTCATATGGAGTACAACCACTGGCATGGACAAGTTAGACCCAATGCCCTCTTTCCTTGGAATATACTGTAGTCTATGTAACGTTGTGTGTGTGTGGTGGGTGGGGGTGGGGGTGGGTGGGTGGGTGCGGGAGAGGAGGAGAGGGAGATAGACAATGGAAGAATAATAAGTTGAAGTCCCAATGACATTAGGAACACTATCTTTCAAATTACATTTGAAACAATGCTAATGACGTGTTTATTTTCAAGAAGGGGAAAAACATCTTTGGAGGGTAGGTAGAGTTTATCAGAGATTAAGAGCTTGTATTGAGGACTGTAAGGTTTGATGGAACTCCCCCTAAACAGGACAAGAAGCTTTGGATGAAAGAATAGTACGTATAATTAAATCATCAATAGTAACTACTACTCATTTCCATCATTGAAGGTAAAGATGTTTCCCTTGTAAACTGCTCCATAAAACTGACAGTCAAAGCATTTTGTTTTGAATGTTCTGAAAATACTTCAAGTATTGATATGGTATTGACGATCACTGAATACATGTGAGACTTGCAAAAAATAACAAGAGTGAAATTACAGTTCTTCATTTTCCCCTTGCAAAATGCTATATAACTGAAGTTAGATGACAGGATGAACTCACTATGCTATTAAGCCAAGTACAAACAATGTGGTGAAGGGAGTGTGAGAGGTTCAGTGGGGCTGATAACGTGTTGATGAGGTTTGGCTGTTTTCACAGTGACTTGGATAGCTGGAGCAGAGTGTGGGCTTCTTGCTCTAACCGCTGGCCATGTGGTGACGAGGGTTGATGCACATACTAATGTCTCCTCTAAGCTGTGGAGACAGGCAGCTGCAAAACAGCCCCAGAAAAGCCGGAGGATGGAAGTTTGTGCATATCATTCCCCAGGGTGGTGAATTCACAAAGTTAATCTAGGGAAAAGCCACAGAATGCAAGGGACAAAAGAGGCCAAGTTCCTCCCCAAAGCAGAGTCACCAACACCATCACTTAGTGACTAACTGCATGAAGTGACTTTTCTGTGGCGGTTTTTCTGTGCACAAATTGGCTGCCGTTTCTGCCTACAAATACGCAGTCGCTACCCTATAGAGTATAACCCGTGAAGCGCATTGAGACGTGAAGGCGATACATAAAATGCAAGGATTATTAACATTTAATTTTTCAAGTGCATTTTTTTAAAATATTTTTTTTTCCGAAAAGGAAGCCTTTCAGAATTGTGTTGAATTTATGAAAGCAAACCAAACCATTGGGGGAAAAGTACTTTCAATGGAAACATAAGCAAGTATTGAATGTCAAAAAGGCCAGTCAGCTATCAAACCAGCTTTTTCAACAGTTGTGCGCAATCTAACTTAATATGGATTTCCCCCCCACACAAAACTCTGACTCCTCTCTTAGGGAAAATATTACACCCAGAGCCCCAAGGGCAGAAGAAGTTCCAGAATATTTAGGTATTCCCACATCTCCCTGCCCTTCTCTCCCAGTACAGAAATCATTGTTCTGTACAGTGCTTGTTTATCTCTGGCTGCACCTATCCCTGTTCTCTCTAACACTGTTTTCAAGTAGGTATTAATCCACTTCTCTTTTGGAAGGATTAATTCAGAACCTTCCGCTTTCGATGGGAATCTGTTTCACATATCCACCACCTCCGCGTCCCCACCTCGAGTTGTGTTGAGTCACAGGTACTCTGACTGAGACCCATCGCATAGGAGTTATGTGCTGATGTATGGTTCGTGGGAAGCCCTTATTATGTGGAATGTGCGTTTGCATCCTTCCTGCTTCTGGATTGCATTCCTGGAGCTGCAAGAGTTGGTACTGACTGGTAATCAGAATGTAGTAATGGCCTGGGACTGGTGGCATCAACACAATCCCTTCAAATCCCTTTTTAAAAAATTGGGTCACACAATCCACGACTGTTTGTGGGGACGCTGCTGTGGGCAATCAGCTGCCACATTTCGCCCACAAATTATACAGTCAATTCACTTTGCGGAATATTCTGTGAAGCACTTTGAGACGTCTCAACGAAGTGATAAGGCGCTATATCAAATGCAAAGATTTATTTTATTATTATTATCATCATCAACAATGGGGGATGTATGCACTCAATGTACGGTTTAAAACCAGCTTCACATTGAGACTTTCCTTACAAGCTTATTTTTTAAAAAAAATCTGGGAAAGATGGGAGTCTCACACACAGAATGATATGGAACATGAACTCCATCCCCTCCTATTCCCCTCAACTAAATCCCTCGATTCCCTTCTTCCTCATGTATGCTATGAATAGCAAGTGAGAAATAATGATATGCTTCTCTGCTTTGAGCCCAGAGACCTGCTGCCCATGTGTTTGATTGATGACTAGCACTAATCACCATGTGTCCCAATTTCCCCTCCATTAAGTCCCAGAGCAATGTCGATGGACCATTCAGTTAGCTCACAACTGGAGGTAAGATTGTTTTTTTCATGCCTCACACTCACTTTCAGCTCCTGAGAGCGCCAAGATTTCAGGGGTGAAGACCTGTGATGGTGGCCAATGTGAATAACGGTAATAATAATCCTTGCATTTTCTACAGCGTCTTACCACATCATTGAAATGTCTCAAAGCACCTCCCAGAAGTGAATTGACTGTATATTTTGTGAGCGACAAAACAGGAATCATGCTGCCCGGCTCAGAATAACAAGGGAGAGAGACAGAGAATTTTAATTTAGATCACCCCGCCCACAGACACACACCACACATTACTCAGTAGCTATAAAACTCCTACTGTGAGTGTTTCATGATACCCAATTCTATCAGTTAAACTCTGCAATGTCGTCTTTAAACTGATGGCATGAGGATCAGCAGAGACAGGCACCTTGCAGCTAAGTCAACCTGTAACCTATTAAAGGTGTTTGTCGCCCCTTTACAGTGAGGTGCAGGGATTGTTTTCATTAACACAGTGTGGTTTGTGTGCCCTTCCTGATCACACGGAGCTCTGCACTGTCAACTATTTCTGTGGCAACCTGGTGGGAATAAAATGCTCTTGTTCTAACCTGAGAGCAGGCTTAACTTCAGGAATACTCATTCAGTGATAGTGTCAAGATAACTGTCTCGTGTTAATGCCACAGGTGATGTCATCTCCATCTTGAGCATTCCCTTCCTTTTATGGTAAAGAGTTTCTGAGCACAGTGCAAACTTCATCGTCCTGAGTGGGGCGATAGGCAGCTCTTGTTTCCTCCCCCCACCCTGCCCCAATAATAAACTTCTACTTTTGGAAGGAGCTGATTCATTTGGAACTCTAGTTCTTAATGTTTGCTTGAAACAAATATCATAACTTGAGTTTGCTTATTAAAATTGTATGTGGTCAACCACATGATAATTATATCAACGATAACTATATCAAATTCAAGGATTATAATTTTTTTTAAACCAAGCGAGAGCTGAGAGTTCATAAATGGCAATAAGATTTTGTAGGGTCCTAGTCCTAACTTCTGGAACTCTTTCCCTCTACCCTTATGCCTCACCCCTCGCTACCTTAAATCCTGGCTTAAAATCTACCTCTTCAAACGCATCTAAACTACTACTTTAGAGTTTGAGATCAAGAGTATCTGTGACTTGCAGAATGTTTCACAAGTGCAGGGTGAATAGGGATAATGAATGGAGTGGAATATATGAGATGTACAGAAGATGGAGGCTTGATGGACTGAACAAAGTCTTTTCTCATTTTTATATTTTTAAGGCCAACTCGACTACTTCTAGTTAAAACCTGCTTGGCTTGGATCTCTGTCCCTGTGTCTCTCTTTCTTCGTCTCCCCAAACCAAGAAACCAGCCCCCCAAGGACAGCGCTGACTGGTTGCTGTTTATATACCAATCATCAATATTCCATCTCTTACCCAGTTCAGCTGTACAATTTGCTCCAATCAAGAGCAAAATTCCTTTTCTCTGAATAAACCTGTACCAAAGATATCAAAGCAGCACCATTTGTTTGAAAATAAAACACAAACTGGGTCAACCCAAGTCCGCCACCAAAGCTTTCTTTTTAAATTAGGTCTTGTGTGGGTGTGTGTATGTGTGTGCAGTGAATGATACTCTCTGTGTTGGGGCTCACTCGCCTGATTGCTCTGGTTAAGTTGAGCTTTGCATTCAGTTCCTCCTTTGGCTCCTTGACGGGTAGCAATCGGGAGCAGCTGCCCTCTTTCAGCCAGTCATTTGAGTGAAGTCCTTCACTCAAAACCAAGCACATACTGGGTGTCCTGCGTGTGCACTGTCCTCCTGGGACAAACAGATAAATGTAATAATAATCTTTGTGTTTGATAAAGTAATAGAATGGAGGGGTATCTGTGGCTGGTGTGATTCATCACTTCAATTACAGGTAATTTAAAAAAAAAAGTAAACCCTTGATAGCAGCATCCTTCTCTATTGTTACTTCACTGCTGCTAGCAGTCAGTTTACCACAGAAACCCACAAGGGACTGAAGGACTTGAAACAAAAGTTCCTTGTGATATTTTTAAAAGCAAATTCTTGGTCTGTCGAGCCTCCTTCGACCAGTGTTGCCGATTAAGGGAGAAGAGCAGTGTTGGTGGTAAGTCTATCTCAGCGCACTAACCTTCAGACTTCACTCTTAGCTTTGTATGAAGGTGGCTGTCACCAACAAATTAAGGAATGGTTGACTTGAGGGCTGTGGGTTAATAATAGAGTCTAGAACTGCTAAATATTCGGCTCTGACAACATTTAACATCCACTCCTCATTTACAGTTTCCAATTGTTGATCCAACCTTTCCTCATTATTCTTTTCCTCTGACTTTATATTTCAGGCCCTGACGCTCTGGAGAGCTTTTGTGCTGCCTGTTCGAATTCCTGCCAAAGTAAGTCCGGGGAAATGTACAACCCCCTTCTCTAATCTTTCATTGCTCCGAGATGCTACCCTGAATAAAGACTGGTATATAAATGCAAATTGTTGTTGTAAATACTAGAAAGCCACACCACATCATGTTTTCATTCTGACTATTATCCCAACATCAGCTCGGACTCCCAGGCAGCTCTATGGCATGTTTTAAGATATCCGTCCGATGTTAAAGGCTCTGTTTAAGTGTAAAATTGTTGTCATTCTTGCTTTTCAATCATTGTGCTACTAATGATATTGTATTCAGAATCTTTATATTACAGTGATAATTACCACCTGCATGTTAATATGTTGATTTAATCTGGGATTTAATACATTAATTTAAACAGTTGATTTAATCTGGGAAAATTAGATCTCTCTTCACACAGTTAATATCGCGACATGTTAGTGACACATTATTGCCTGTTTATACTGTATCTGGTGCATTATCTGAGAGGCCATGTCTAGTTAAGATAACCTGGTAGATCAAGAAGACGGGAGTTTAGAACGTGTGACTAAAATATCATAGTCAGTGTGCCCTCACAACTAAAAGACTGTGTGATAAGTACATCAAACAAATTCTAACCTAAGTTATTTCAAGGTTTTGCTTGGTGTTTGCTGGGTCCTCAAAACAGCGATCAGCCTGAACAGGTCACTGACTCCACCATCACTCAACCATCACTCCAGATGGTTAGCAGACGCTAACTGCGTCTGTTTTTGAAAAACCACATCCATTTCAGTCAGCCTGGTGTAGTGGTAACGCTTTCTCCTCTGAGTCAGAAGGTTGTGGCTTCAAGGCCCACGTCGGCCTCAATCACATAGTTTAAGCTGACACTCTAATGCAGTGCTGGGGGTGTGTTGCATTGTCAGAGGTGCCATCCTTCGGATGAGAAGTTAAATCAAGGTCCTGTCTGCCAGTTCAGTTAAAGATCACTTAGCACTGTTCGAAAAGAGAAGGGAGTTTCTCCCGGTATCCTGACCGACAATCCTCCAAATAAAATTGGTCACTCACTTCATGGCTGTTTGTAGGATGTTGCTGGGCACAAATTGTCTGCCACATTTGCCCACAAAATGCACTTTTCAAATACACAAATTTCTAAATACACTTTACAATTTATCCTGTGAAGCGCTTTGAGATGTCTCGACGATGTAATAAGGTGCTATACCAAACGCAGGATGATTATTCAGCAAATTATTCATGGGATTATTCATGGGGTGATGCTACAGGCCATAAAAAGGACAAGATTCACAGGCTTTATTGTAAAGTCCAGTGATTGTGTACTTTGTAGGCAAATGTAGCAGCCAATTTGCACATCTCAATATCCCACAAACAGCCATAATGATGATAATAATAGCCATGAAGAGATTGAATGGTTTTATTTGGGAGATTGCTGGCTCAGACACCGGGAGAAACTCTCTTTTCTTTCTGAATCTTGGGATCTTTAAAATAATAATCCACTTGAACAGGCAAACGAGACCTCGATTTAATGGACAGCACCTCCAGCAGTGCACAACAACCCCAGCACGGCATTGGAGTGTCATCTTAGACAAGACTTAGACATCGGTTCAAGGACCAAGGTAGTCATTCACTTCATGGCCGTTTATGGGCATTTGCTATGTGCAAATTGCTTGTCGTGTTTACCTACAAATACAGTTACTGAATTTTCCAGGCATTCCCTGCAAAGTGCTTTGATAGGTTTCGATGATGTTGGTGCTGTAGTGAACACAAGGATTATTGTTGTCCCCACAAATCAACGGAGACATTAAAAAAAAGGCTCATATCATTAAATATTTTTAAGTGACGGATGCCAACACCTCACCACAGTATTAACAAGGGCCAATCTGCTTTGTTGAAGTGATTGCATTTTCGAGGTTCCCAGCGCTGCAAACCACAGCCCAGAGGCGAGCCGAGTGGGTATGCCTTAGACACACCACAGCTATATGTACGCAAACAGCAGCAAGCAAATGTAATCCAGGTCACACGCAAACTTCTGAAACAAAATCGATTGCGCTTGTGAAAATGTTAAGTCCACAGATCATGAAAGCAGCACGGATACTTGTGAGCAAATAATGCAAAGGAAACTGAGTTTAAAAACTCTCTACTGGAGACTGCCTGTGTGCTGTGGACTTCACTATGCCACCCACCCACCCTGTGTTTTCTCTGCTGTTTCTATTCATATACTCTAGACGTTCCGCACAACCAGCACAGGTGTTTGTAAAGCTGCTCTTCCTGTTTGGTCTCCTGTGGTAAAAATACTGTAAGAGGCTTTTCTGAGGAAGAAAGAACATAGCTCGCTATCGTGCCAGTGTCTCAAAATGTTTTGCAGTAATTATTGTCGAGTGCAGTCGCTGTTTTTGCAGTGTCGCTGACAAATACAGCAGCCAGTTGTGTAGCAAGAGCTCACAAATGATGATGATGAGTGGCCAATTATTCTGTTGAGAAACTCTTCTCTTTCTAAATTACATCAATAGGGATCTTCGGGTCCATCTGAAGAACAGGCAGATGAGATTTTGATTCCATGTCCCATCCAAAGCAATGGTTCCCCTAATTATATTAATGCAGTGCTCACCCAGTGAGGCACTAGAACGTCAGCCTGGGCTTCTCTCCCATCGTGGGATTTGAACCCTCCCTCTGACCTGGAGGGAGTAGCGTTGCTCACTGAGGCAAGCCTGCGGAGTCCTGTAGCATATGGTTCGAGCACTCGCCTCGCAAGTGAGAGGGCCCGGGTTCGATTCCCTGGCAGGGCAAAACGTTAGGCAAATTTCCTTACTTCACACATCTCTGTTTACATCCAGTAAATAGGAACCCTATTGTTAGTCGATTGGTGGATCACTTTCTGGGGATAATAATCCCTTCATAAACAAATAAAATAATAATTTGGTCACTCAATCCACTACTGTTTGTCGCCCCAAAAATATAGTCAATTCGCTTTACAGTATATTCCATGAAGTATTTTGAAATGTCTCAATAACGTGATAATATCCAAGGATAATTATTATTTTAAGCCCAAATCCTTGGGTATTAAGTTACATTCCAATGCTGTGGGAAAGAGATAGAGGAGGGAGGTAAAGGTGGGAGGGATTTGATGCAGTTTGTTTTTTGTAAAATTGATTTAATTTGCATTGAATGGAAATCTTCTGCGTAGCTGAAATGTTCCTTGCCTTGTATCGACAAAATTTATCTGTATCGACAACACCAATTTATCCACGCAATTTATTTCATTTTATTGTTGGATTGTTTCACAGTACACCCAAGCCTAAAATAGCACATGTGTTGCCTTAAGTAAGTCTGCTAAAAATAGAAGTTTTGTGGGGGGAAAGAAATCCAGTGTCTTTCGGTTTTTATTTAGAGCAGGTTATCAGATCCACATCTGCAATGCAAAGCTGGGACTGTTGCTTGCTTTGTCTTGGTATCCAAAATAAGTCAAATTCGTATTGCTTTTCACAAATCCACTCCCAAGACAGGCAGGAGGGTTGGATAACCAAAGTGGTTGGGGAAAACAAATAAACTGGTCAAACAGCTACTCTGGTAGGCAGGATTGAAACTTATTGCAATGCCCAAACCATACAGAAAAAAAACATCCACTGTCCCAGTAAGTAAGTTGTTGTTACACCTTCACCCTATTGAATGGAACCTCAGTGCTAACAGCTCATTCATCTGCCTCTGATTGCAGGTGGAAAGTTCTTTCAATTACTTGGAGATCAATGCGATCAACACCATCGACCTCAACCAGGTAAAAAAAAAACAACTTCATTGTTGTGCAGGCTGTTACTAAATATATTGCCTCTGTTACAGGGAGAAAGTGCGCACTCTATTATAGACGAGGGAAATTTCTGTGTGTATGTGTCACTTAGTAGTGTAGTCTAGATGAGCATGGCGATGGATTTCTGCATCTGTTAGACATCTGGCTATTAAATTTATAGCCCCTATGCTATTAGAAGTGTGTAACTGTTCAAACATCTCCACAACTTCATTCCATGACTGTTTGTGGCTGTGTTTCGCTCACAAATATACAGTCGATTCACTTTACAGTATATTCTGTGAAGCACTTTGAGATGTCTAGAAGACGTGATAAGGCGCTATATCAAATGAAGGATTATTATTATCTCATGTCCCTTCACAGGTAATGCTGTGAATTGGGTGACTGTATATTTGTGGGCGAATGCTGCAGTTGTTTTACATTTAATAAGGTCCCACAAACAGCTGTGACATCAAAAAAACTTGCTTGAAAGTGCACTGACTAATCATTTGGAATATGTTAACATCTGATTACAAACCCCAGGGCACAGAGAGCTGCTATTGAACTTGTTGTATTTCCTGCTATGAATTCAGGGTAATTTCACTGCAAAAACCAAGCTGCTTTTTTTTACCCAGTGTGGTTTGCACATTGTACAGGTTGTTCTCAACGATTTGCTGATTAATTTTACAATTATTGTACCAAACCTTACCCGATTCTAATTTCACACAGGCCTTTCAAACAGAAATGTTTAATTTTTTTGAAAATATATATTGATTTATAAATATAATATTGTAGTGCAACAAAAATCCAAAACACGAACATCTTCTGTTCCAATTTTTTCCGTTTCGTCCCGATACAAAAAAAAAGATCTCGTGTTTACGGTACATTCCTTCACCGCACGTAGGTTTGCACACACGTGTTTTGGGGAGCTCCCTTTAACACAGTCGGGAGTCACCCCTGTGTACACCACATCCATGTGCGCACCCGCGCACACCCCGAAAAGGCGCACTTGCCGCTTTCGGAAGGTGCCCCGATGTGCATAGTACACGCACATGTTTACCGGATCTGGGAGGAGCGTCTCTGTACATTAAGTCTACTACTAGGAGTCTCCCACCCACCACTTCCCTGCGTTCAGTGATGGTGAAATTTCTCCCTCTCTTCACCCCCCCACCCCAGCGCAGCAGCACATCCAACCCAGAGCTGCGACAGTCATTTCCCCCGGACCACACTGAACGTCTGTAGAGCAACCACCACTTAACCCTTTAAACAGAAATACCATTGGTGTCCCTGTGTTTGTGTGTCCCTGTGTTTGTGTGTCCCTGTGTTTGTGTGTCCCTGTGTGGGTGCCTCCCTCTGTGGGTGCCTGTCTCCCTGTGTGTGTGTGAGTGCAGTGGGGAATGGAGGGACTCTACTTTTGTTGATGTTTGTCTTGTAGTTTAAAACAGCACTCCCATAAAACTTGTTTTGGGGGGGAAAAAAAGTTCAAAGATGATCTGGTCCATACAAGAACAGATAAGTTGCCACAAAGCTGCAAAGGATAAAACAGCACTGTAGCACAGAGGAGCTTTTTTTCTGAGACAGAAGCACTGCGCTACATTTGCATGTTGATCTCATCTCTGAGGTCAGGCAGGAAATAAACTGTTTGGATCCAAAGATATTATCATCGCTGCACGACGGAAAATACATTCAACAGTTCTCGTGTAGACCACTCTGCAGTATCACTGAATTAATTGATATGTGGTTTTTTTTTACCCAGATCTTTCGGAAAGACTGTCCTAAAATTTGTATTTTGGCCCGTTCTACAATCATTTCATCCCAAATCACATAGATTGCCACAGCCTGAAAACAAGACTTATGATAATTATTTCTTCCTGTTATTCGTTGCTATTAAGCAGGTTGTGTGCATAGAGATAATGAATAATGCTAATAATAATCCTTGCTTTTGATATCGCGCCTCACATGACTTTGTACAGTGTGTTCTGCATTTTCATCACTTCCCTCGCAATTGTACGATCGTTGCTAACTGAATGAATATTTGTTTTTGTCACAGATTGTCATAGAAACCGAGAAGATCTCCTACTCCTTCAAACTCATGTCCCTTGAAGACCTGGAGCAGGTGGTTAGTCATGTCACTGCATCGCTTAAGAAAATATTTCCCGATTCATCTCCCGGGTGAGTCCCATTCTAGCGTTGAACATCTCTCACTTTGTCGATTTATAAATCCAGTTTCTGTTAAATAATATAGAGAGCAATGATTTAGTTAAAGTGTGCAGCAAAGCAGTCGCATGATATAGGGGTTGTGATAAGGTAGTTGGTCAGCAGTGTTAATGCAATCCTGTTCACTTCTGATTTTCTATAAGGTTGTAGCCTCAGCTTATCTTCTCTCGCTTGGGAGCGGACTGATCCTGTTGAGGTTAAGCGCTGTCTGTGCAATTTTTTTTTAATGAAGATATTGTCTAGTCTTGAGGCACATGAAAGAATCAGTGGGTACAAGAGATTAATCGCATCCTGTGTCAGGAAGGGACGATGGTAACTGAGAAAGATTTGCTGCTGTCTTTACAATGAATTTCTTACGTGTGTTGTCTGTTATGCCACTAAACACACAGGCCCTAATGTCTCATCTGAAGGACAAAACTGAAGGACAAAACTCTCAACAACAAAAAAAACACTACAATATTTTGTACACATTTACAATGTGAGCCCGGCTGAGTTTAAACGTTGTGGGTTCAAGCCTGACCTCGAGCTGACACTTCAGTGGTGTGCTGTATTGTTGGTGGTGCCGTCGTTCAGATGAGATGTTAATACTAAGGTCTCATTTGTCTGTTGAGGTGGACATTAACTGTTCACTATTGGAAAGGGAAGTGTTCCTACCAAGGTCCTGGTCAACAATCCCCCAATATAATTGAACATTCACTTCATGGTTATTTGTGGGACATTCCTGTGTGTAAATTGGCCTATCATGTTCACTTACAAAACTCACAGTCACTACACTAATGATGTACTAATCGCTTCAGTGATTCCTACGAAATGCATTGAGGTTTCATCCTGGCATGAAAGGCATTAAATAAATTAAATGAAAGGTATTAAATGAAAGGATTATTATAATGAATAAAACCTTATCGCTGTTTACCTCAGCTTCTGTCAGCGTATTTTATATCATGAGTGTCATTGAGAGGTATTTTATCCAATAACCCAAATGCTGCATGATGCACAAACTAAGATGAGAGCTGATGCTGGCCTGAGGTATGTCTGAGGCTTCCTTTCCTCCTGTACCTTCCAGACAAGAGGCTGCCAAAAATGGCGATGTTGTCTAACTATAATTACATCTTGTTCAGAGTGATTTTGCAGTTTATGAAGAGATTTTTCCTCCTTGGTTCGAATGTCTACAATACATTATTCTGCGTCTAATACCACCTGATTGTACATTTTAAGGCAATTTAGTTCCACATTGAATGGTTGATGTACTTGGTGTTAAGCAAACTGTCTGGGGTTTATGTTTCCCATTAATTTCCTTAGAAAGTTACTCAAGAAGAATACCCACGAGTTGCAGGAGAGAATCTGGAAGATCACAGCTTCGCTGGAAGACCTGAAAGACTCCAATCAGGGGCCTTGTGGTACGTAAACAGGCCCCACCGTGCTGACAGCCCAGCCTGGCTCTGTCGCCCTGTTGTAGCCCCTGAAGAGAGTTGCTAACTCATTGCACGACAGGTTTTCAGAAGAAAGCAAATGAGTTTGGTCGACTGAGTTGCACCAAGAATAAAGGCTTTGCCCGGCCCCTCGCGCGATGGTGAGCAGAGTCATTGGACTATCAGCCTATCCACAGCTTTCTGTTTACCTTGCAGGTGGCTATTCGGAAACCTACACCGCTTTGTGTGATTACAATGGCTTTCCCTGTAAAGAGGAAATTCAGTGGGTAAGTTTACAGAGAGTACAAGAATATCTAATAATCAATTAGACCTCAAATGCCGGGCCTCAGCAGGAATGACATGCGCACATCTGGGATATGCTCTCCCCCCCCATTTTACACTATATGGGTTCTTTATCTCTGTCAGCCATTACATAGAGGGGAGATAATAATAATATTAATCCTTGCATTTGATATAGCGCCTTATCACATCTTCGAGACATCTCAAAGCCCTTCGCAGAATATATTGTCAAATGAATTGACTATGTATTTTGTGGGTGAAACGCTTTGTGGAGATGCTCCATAATTACTCTACAGTATATGCTTAGCACCTTTCATGTGGCCTGAATGCTTCGCAAAGCCTAAAGGAAGCTCCACTGGAGACGGGAGGGAGGAATTCATTGCGTTGACCAAAGGTACAGTCAAGAGGCTGGGAGAAAAGGAATGAGGTGTGAGAATTTTGCCAGAGAGCGGGGAGAGAGCAAACAAGCAAGTGATCTGTTTTGCACATCATGTCCACAGTGCCTGGCAGAAGAATTTGTAACTGATGTGGGTTATGATTAACTTGACCAGTATTAGAGATTCTTGTTCAGTGTTAATCTAATTGATCTGCTGGAATTTCCCCATTTGTTTTTTACGGCGGATAGGATGTGGATACAATCTATCACAGCCAGGACACCAAAGAGTTTAACCTGCTGGATTTCAGCCATTTGGACAGCAGGTGAGTAAATAATCCTTGCATTTGATGCAGCGTCTGATCACATCAGCGAGATATCTCAAAGTGCTTCACAGGATTTACCGTAAAGTGTAGTGACTGTATTTTGTAGGCGAACGCAGCAGCTAATTTGAGCACAGCAATGGAGCGAGTGACCAATTTTATTTGTTACATTGGCCCATATCCCTTTTGCTATACTTGTGCTGAACATGCATTAACCCCATTTCTGTCTCGTTACAGGGATGTAGCACTGTGTGTGGCAGCCTTGGCGTTTAACCAGTGGTTTATAAAGCTTTACTCCAAGGATTTACGGCTGGTAAGTTCGAAGCAACAAAATGGATTGCAATTTTACAGCATCATGTAATGATGATAAAATGTAGCAGTGCCTGCTGGAGCTTGATTTGACTTGTGGAAAGGGTTTGTGGCCATCGTATCATTAGGACCTCATGACTCGCTTGAGTAGGAAGGGGATGGGTTAGCCAGAGTGAGTGATCAGGTCTATGAACTCCCCGTTGGATCCCTGCACAGCAAATGAGGGAAAAGGACCTGCGCAATCTGAAGGTTAAGATGATGATCTTGAGGCTGAATAATATTGGGATATTTCCTTTGATTGGAGAATTCTCCTGTTATTTTGTGCCCTGCTGGTCGCAGCCTCTGGATGTTAGCCAGTGAAATCAAAATCGTCCTAATCGTAATGACATTTTCAATGTCTGACCATCTCCCCGCAGTTTGGTGATTGTGCCCCTATGCGGTGGGACCTAGAGAGAGGGGCGTTTGCACTGAAGGACAAGCACACTGATGTGCCCCTCTTATTGTTCCCTGTTCACTAACAGAACCCTGATGTGGTGGAGCAGATCCTTTACATGCTCAGTATGTCTTCAAAGCTGGAGGAGGTGGTTTTAGAGAATGCTGGTCTGAAGTTGTAAGTGGACGATTCATTTCTGACGGTGCTTTGTAGAGCGAAGCTTCCTTTTGCTTCTCACTTTAAAAGTCCATTCGAAGAGTTCTATGCAAAGCGCTTTGAGACATCCTCCTGACTTGAAAGGCGCTACATAAATTAAAGTTGATGTTGACTGTTGTCATAGCTTACAGCACTGGGGTTGATATGTTTTTAGCCACACGTTTGCTACACTTTTTACGATGGGAGTTCTAATCGTGAAAAGATCACAAAGTTCAGTGATCAGGTTAGATGGAGCTCACCGTTTACCGATTAGCCCCGCACAATCGCTGTCCATTGCGTTGCCAACAAACTTAAAAAAGGAAAAGAATTTCACGCTTCAAATCCGGTAAAGTTACTCAAAACACCGATGTTGCGTTTGAAAGAAAGTTGCTTGAACAAGCGCCAGTCCTTGACCAGCCGACGATTTAACCTGCGCTGAGTTTCTGTGATGCTGTTCATAGAGGAATTTGGAAACATCCCATATCAGGCTACCTACTGTGTGCTATTGAGCCCCAAGTGTTAACAGTGGTGGCTGTTGTCGAGAGAAACGCCAGCGCAAACTTGATAGGTCAGACTGAGCGGGTTGAAGCAGGTGTGAGCTTCAATCAGTCCATGTGAGTGCGACAGGAATTTCTTCTCCTTTCAGTGACTTTGGGCAGAAAATGGCACTGGCTCTAGAGGAGAATCCTTGCCCTGGGATTCACACCATAAACCTCTCCAGCAACCAGCTAGAGGACAGAGGTAAAGGTCATAGCTTGTTCTTTTCGATGACTTCTACTCAATGTTTACTGACTCAGATCCAGCTTGGGCCCAGATCCCATTTCACCTCCAGGCCCAGGTTGGGCTCATGTTATTTACCTTGTGTTTCAATCATCTCTGTGTTCTTGCCTTGTGTCGGGACACCCATCACCACACAGCCTCCCGCTGACCATAGACTGCACATTAATACTGCTCTAGGAGCAGACATGCACAGGTTTACATGGATTCAGCCACAAAATATACTCTGCTTTACAGCATATAAAGTGCTTAATATTCTGTGAGGTGCTTCGAGACATCCTCCTGACACGAAAGGCACTCCATCGAATCTAAGCATTTTTTATTTTTTTTATTATTATATGGACAATGTCAGTCCCCAATTCTTTTGGTTGGAATATAAGGAGCGGTTTGTCCTTGTCATGCTGTCAGGCATACTGCACGGAATAAGGAGAGCTTGCAGAGTGGAGAAAACAATGGGGGAAGGGGGAGATTAAATGATTAAAAAGATGCTGTAATGTTTGTTTGTCTCTGGCTTCGTAAGGGATGTCAGCACTGAGTCAACAGATTGAGAAACTGTCCAAGGGACTGAAGCACCTGAACATCTCCAGAACATCACTGAGTGCCAAAGGTAAGTGAGCCCTCCCATTGGGACAGCTAACCCAGCACCAAGCTTCACAGGTGGCCAGCTTTTAATTGATGTTTGCGTTGCACCTCCTTGTACTTTTTAATATGAGAACATTGTATTTCTTACTCCCTCTTTATGTGCCTCACATCACTTTAAAGTATATCCTTTGATGCTCCTTGACATGTCTCTCAACGACATAAAGCGCTGTATTAAACGCAAGGATTATTATTACATTATAACTATTTATTGTATGCCTCTAAAATCTGAAAGTCATACGTTGATGTTCTATCTGTAAATGTGTGTTTTCCTTCTTTAACTACAGCTTATTACAAATCCTTTCTCTCCTTTCCTTCACCTCTTCAATTCAAAGTATTTGGAGTCCATCATTCTACTTGAAAGGTGCTACTTGTTTGTTTTACTTTCTCTTGCTCATTCTCTCTTCACCTCTGTTTTTTGTTTTACTTTTGCAGGTCTCAACTCTTTGGCTCAGTCATTTCTTTCCAACGACTCCTTTGCAAGTTCCCTTGTCTACCTGGACCTCTCTGGGAATCCTGGGCTATTGGCTGCTGAAGATACCTGTGTAAGTGGAAGACACCAGATAAGCAGATCTCTATTTAACCAGTGCTTTGGTTGGTGAGGTTACTGAACACTGATTTAATGCTAAATCTTCTCACCCACTGTATACAGGATTGGATTAAATTCAACAACCCCTGTGTAATGAGGAGTGTGCGAGTTATACTCTCGCTCTTTGGATAATTAAGAATTAATTAGGTTTTTCAGTTGTGAATAAATGCGATTAATGCCAATGCAGTTTTTTAAAAAAAAAACATCTTTCCAAAGTCAAAGCATGCCCTGCGTTCCCGATGTGTTTCCAACCTTCCCTCAGGAGACCACAGCGTGTGGAAGAGATGGGCTGAAAGGTCTTTGCCCATTCCCCACAAGTCTTACTGCACTTGTGAAGGCCATTCCAAATCCATGTTGTTTAGAGAGTGCCATCATGAGAGGTGGGTGGGTGGAAGAGAAGAGAGAAATAATTCCAGTATGCAAACAATTAAAATACAAATGGGGTCTTTACACTTACACAGAATTACTTTCTATGTTCTCTGAATTAGTACTTTGCTTTATAAATGGAGTGCGCCTCTCATTAAACGTGTATTACATTATTCTGGACTGTTCATGCAAAATGTTTAGTAATACAATTCTTTTTCTCCTGTTTGTTACAGAGCTTTTATAGTTTCCTTGCCCAGCCGAACGCACTCAGTCACCTAGATCTAGCGGGGACTGACTGTGCACTGGATGCTGTAAGTACCACAGACTCAAGACAGTCCCAGCCCCCACCTCCCAAGTACCAAGAACTTTAAAGGAAAATCAAACACTATTTATTGTACGTTACTAATTTGAACTTTTCTTTCCTCAAAAAATAATTAAGTGGGATCAATGGGAGTCCTGTAGCTTAGTGGTTAGAGCACTCACCTTACAAGCGAGAGCCCTGGGTTTGATTCCCGGCAGGGCGAAACCTTGGGCAAGTTTACTTACTCCACTCGCCTGATAATAATCCCTCAAGAAAAAAGAAACAATAATAAATTGGTCACTTCAATCCACGACTGTTGGTGGGACGCTGCTGTGCGCAATTAGCTGTTGCGTTTTGCCCACAAATATACAGTGAATTCACTTTACAGTATATTCTGTGAAGTGCTTTGAGGCGTGAAAAGCGCTATATCAAATGCAAGGATTATTATTATCAAGGGACAGGGAAAATGGAAGGAATTGATATCAACAACAACATGATTGCATTTATAGAGCGCCTTTCACGTCGGGAGGACGTCCCAAGGCGCTGGACAGTTGGATCGGGACCCGAGCAGGGGGGAAATGGTCAGGGTGAGGGGAGGGAAGGGAGGGAGCGAGGAGGGGGTAGAGAGTCGAGAGGGGAGCCGAAGGCACGGTTGAACTGAAAGGTCCTGAGACCGGCCTTGAAGGAGGAGAGGGAGGAAGCGGCGAAGGCACTGGGGGATAGAGTTCCAGAGCCTCGGGGCTGAGAGGCTGAAGGCCCGGCCATTGATGGTAGGGCGGTTGGGGCGGGGGATGTGGAGCAGACCGGAGCCAGAGGAACGGAGGGTACGGGCAGGTAGGTAGGGGGATAGTAGGTCGGAGAGGTAGGAGGGTGCAAGGCCGTGAATGGCCTTGCAGGTGAGGATGAGGATCTTGAGTTCGATCCTCTGGGGGATGGGGAGCCAGTGGAGGCGAGCGAGGGTGGGAGTGATGTGGTCCGAAGCCTGGTGCGGGACAGTACACGAGCTGCAGAGTTCTGAATGACCTGCAGCTTGTGGAGGGAGGTGCGGGAAGGCCGGCGAGGAGAGAGTTCCCATAGTCCAGCCTTGAGGTGATAAAGGCGTGGACCAGTGTTTCAGCAGCGTGAGGGGTGAGGTAGTGCCGTAGTCTGGCGATGTTCCAGAGGTGATGGAAGGCGGTGCCAGTTGTGGTGCGGATGTGAGGGAGAAAGGACAGCTCAGGGTCGAACAGAACACCGAGGTTCCTGACCGGCTTTGAGAGGTGGAGAGTGCAGCCTTGGATGCTGATGCTGTGAGTGCCTGAGGTGCGGAGGCGCTGACGTGAGCCAATCAGGAGGGCCTCAGTTTTGCGCACATTGAGCTGAAGAAAGTTGTCTCTCGTCCAAGACTCGATGTCAGACAGGCAGTCTGTCAGGACATCGGTGGTCGTGGAGTTGAGGGTAGAAGAGGAAAGAGTTGGGTGTCATCCGCATACATGTGGAAGTTAACCCCATGTCTGTAGATGATGTCACCAAAGGGGAGCATATAGAAGGGTGAAGAGAAAGGGACCGAGGACAGAGCCCTGAGGGACACCGCACGAGATAGTGCGGGGGCTGGAGGAAAAGCCGTTTGCAGAGACAAAATGAAGATGGTGGGAGAGGTAGGACCTAAACCACTCGAGGACAATATTCCCGAGGTGGAGCCATGCTAACAGGCTCGACGACGTCAGCGGCAATATAAGAAGTCTCACTGTTACACAGTCTCAGTACGCTCACTGTGTCTATCTCATGTATTGTTCTTTACTTATAAATGTTTCCCATTTTCAGCTCTTTGGAGCCTTGGATCGTGGCTGCTGTATGCATCTGTCCAGCCTGATCCTCAACAGAAATGTTTATTCCCACAAGTAAGTAAAAGCGATGGATGTATTTTTTTTGTCACCGTTTGATCTCTTTCCGGTTGGCCCTGCTGTAATGAGGCCAGACTCAATTGGAAGATTCCCGTGCTTCCGATTCCTCCAGTTTTCGAAGGATTCTGTCAATTCTGATCATGATTTTACCTAAACGGTGCTGAGAATACTGATCGATAAACTAGGAACCCAAAATTAATTTCCAATGGAACCATAGACCCCTCCTCCACCACGACTTAGCTTTTTAAAAAAAAGCTTTATGAGAACGCAACATAGTTTTGAAATTACCCGACAATGTTCTGACCAGCAAGCAATCAAAACCACAGGTTTATTACCCATCCTGCGCCTCCAAACCCCCTTTAAATGTCTTTCACTGAACCCTCTGAGGCAGCCAGTCAGAATACACGGCGCCGCTCGTACACATGTGCCCTCTGCTCTCTTGCAGGAAAGTGCGGGAAATCCCTCCGTCACTGAAGCACTTCTTCAGGAACTGTTGGTCCTTGAAGTACGTGGGACTGTCTGGCACGAAGCTGCCCCTGGAGGCCCTGAGGTACAATTCAAAGCCGCCCGGCTTTTGCTGTCATAGTAAATGTAAAGCACGTTTGGAGTCGGTTGTAACTTTAAAGATTGGTTTTGGAAATTGTTTCAATGGAACTGCCGTAAGAGCTCCATCGGTAAAAAACACTGCACAGTGTGAAACTGAGTCAGAGCAATCTAGAAGGCCACTAATGGTCTAACAGCAGTACCAGGGGCCAGCGGTCACATGAGCAACAACAACAGCAAGATTACATTTGTATAGCGCCTTTCACATCGGGAGGACGAGCATCGCTGTCTTTTAAACAATAATGTAGGAGTACGAGATTATCGTCAGAATATTTATATCAGTTTTTTTTGTAGTCGGATCGTATTTTACTTCCCTGACAAAGCAGCTTTGAGTCTCGCAATCCGAGCTCCCAAAGACCATCTACTGGGAGATGTGAGGAGATGTCCTATCATGTCCCAACCACAACTCACTTCACCCCTCCCACCGAGCGAGCTACACTAATTCACTGATCAGGTGGTCTCCACATCTTCCGTATAATTAAGTCACAACATAGGTTTAGAAATTCCTGTGCTGATCGTGTGCTTAATATCATAATACACATACTATTTACTTTCACAGTGCTCAGATTTAGCTGCATTATTCATGTCTTTTTAGCGCATTACTAATGTATTTGTTTTGCTCCCCAGAGCTGTGCTTCAGGGTCTGGCCTGTAACACCCATGTGTCTGATGTGCAGCTGGATCTCAGTAACTGTGAGGTACTGAACAGAAAAGCTAATCACAGGATTTGTTGAGTTATTTTCATGCTGTGTCTTTCTCAAGCTTTTGCTGCACTGGAGAGTGAAAATCACAAAGGTGTTCTGCTTTGTTAAGTAGTAAATACAATGCAGTGGTCCCTGCTTGGTATTTATTTCAGCCGCAATCAATTCCTAGTCAAGCTGTAGAGGTTTAGCAGTTTAACTGCCTGCAATGCAGGTCAGCTTGGCTCAGTTGGTAGCTCGCTCGCCTCTGGGTCAGTTTCTGTGTTCAAGCCCCATGTCAGTGTACTCACAATCCAGGCTGAGACTCCATTGCAGTTGTGGGGGAGCACTGCATTGTCAGAAGTGCGATCCTTTGGATGAATCCATAAACTGAGATCCAGAAGACATTAAAGATCCCACGGTACTGTTCAACAAGTACCCCAGATAAACTGATCTTTCACCTGGCTGTGTGCGGGACCTTGCTATGTGCAAATTGGCTGCCGCATTTGCCTTCAAACGCAACACATGTAATCGGTGAAGCTCTTTCTGAGTCTTTCCAACATTATAGGTACGATATCAAATGAAGGGTTACTATTTGCATAACTGCCAATTTCAAGGTTTCATGTCAGCTCTGCAATCTGCTGTGCAATTTGACACATTTGTGGGTATCTATACGTCCCCTACTTCCACAAATCACAGAGCAGTAACTCATGTCTCCTCTTACTCCCGTGCAGTTGAGATCTGCTGGGGCTCAGGTGATCCAGGATCATATTTTTGATGCCAAAGCCATCAGTAACCTGGACTTGACAGATAACGGTAAGTGACCCTCTGCTAAGCCATTGCCTGCTGGACATTACCAGTACTGGTTGGACCTTTGATGGCAAAGATCCACTTGCCTGAACCACTAGTCAGAAGTGTCTTAATTAAGACATGCCCTGTAAGGTGGGACTTCCCTACTTTGGACAGTAAGTTATAGAAAAGGTTCTGACCACTCTTATGCTGTAAGGAAAATCTATGTTTTGCCCACAAATATACCGTCAATTCACTTTATAGTCTATTCTGTGAAGCGCTTTGAGATGTCTAGAAGACGTGTAAAGCGCTATATCAAATGCAAGGATTATTAATGTTATTATCATGAGACATTGCATTATACTTTGGGTAAAGAATAATGGGTAGAAGGTCATGATAATACTGTAGAGGTTTCAGTCTGTTCTCTGAGGTACACTCTTTTGCAGGATTTGACTCAGACATGGTGACTTTGGTTTTGTCTCTTGGAAGAAGCAAATCCCTCCAACATGTGTCTCTTGGCAAGAATTTCAATATCAAATCAAAGTGAGTATTGACACGGTGACAGTTGTTTTTGTATTGGTCTCAGCAGCATTGCTCTACGTGAAGCCTGGATGATAAATGCTGCTTGTTATAGATATGCATGTTTTTTTCTAAATTTATTTGAACAGTAGGCTTGTATCTGTTTTACATATTGCCCATCTCCATTCGTTGCACTCTCACCCCTGAGTTTTAGAAGGTTGCGGTTTCAAGTCCCACATTGGGACTGCAAACTCATAGTCAAGGCTGACACAGCAACACACTGCTGGAGCGATTGGGGCAGTGCTGCATTGTTGGAGGTGCCATCTTTCAGGCATTAAACCAAGGTCCCGTTTGCCTGTTTAGGTGGACATTAAAGATCCCACAGATTCAAAGAGAGAAGAGTTTCCCTCAATGTCCTGGTCATCAATCTCCCCCCACCAGATAAAATTGGTTGCTTACTTCATGGTTGTTTGTGGGATGTTGCTAGTAACAAAATATCTGCCTGTTCACCTACAAAAAAAGTCACTACACTTTACAGTGCTCTGAGAATGACCTCCCAATGTGAAAGGCACTATATCACATGCAATGATTATTATTATTTATATTGTATTCCAGAGCGCTGGTCGATGTTCTTCATAGGATAGTTCAACTCATTCAGGATGAAGAGTGTGTAAGTTTGTTACTGTCTAATGAAATGGCTGCATTTGGCAGCATGATAACTGGGTACTTTTCATATCAATTTGTTTGGTGTATTTATAGTGTATTTGTTTTTACAGCCATTGCGGTCACTGTCAGTCGCTGACTCGAGGTTGAAGTCTGGGACCTGCATTCTCATTAACGCTCTGGGCAGCAACACTTGCTTGAGAAGGATTGACATCAGTGGCAATGCCATGGGGGACACTGGAGCAAAGATGCTAGCCAAAGCTTTGCAGATCAATACCAGCCTCAGGTACATGTGCTGTGTGTGTAATGTTATAAGAGAAACCAACCTCACTGCAGGAGAATAAGACTGTACGTTACATATAATAATTGATAGAAATCCATTCCAAGCTCCTCTATATTGGAGCGAATACTGGATACTTCTTCAGCTGTTAATGACATATGTGACTTTGTGTGACAGAACTGTGGCTTGGGATAGGAACCACACAACAGCAGTGGGATTCCTGGATGTTGCCAGCGCTCTGGAGAGGTATCTATTGTGTTATTATTTGTCTTCTGCACTCAGATGATTCAGTGATAGGAAACAAAATGGATCAGACCCTTGTCCACTTGACATTCTATGTTGGCCCTGATTCATCCTAGTCAAACCCCTTGATGTATTTGTGAGGCAATGCATGTTAACTTAGCTTGGAACATTTTCTATTTATAGTCATTAATGTACTGTCCTTGAATAATTAGCAGTCCACGCATATGTGACTGTGGTAGAGCGAGCAACCGCTTCAGATCACTCACAGTCTCTCCACATGTGACAGTCGACAGCTCCTCCCAACAAGAAAGGCACTATATAAATATATAATTGTTGGCGGATCAGTAGCCATAGCAGCATCGATGATGTGCATTAGCGCAAGATCTTCTGACCCAGTAAACACACATCATCAATAATAATAATCCTTGCATTTGAGACGTCTCAAAGCGCTTCACTGCATATACTATAAAGTGAATTGACTATTTTTTGTGGGTGAAATGCGGCAGCCAATTGCACACAGCAGTGTCCCACAAACAGTCCTGGATTGAGGGACCAAATTATTATTATTTATTTTGAAGGACTTATTACCCCTGGAAAAGCGACCTGCCAATAGATTAATAGCCAGGTTCCTACTTACATTGCTGAAATATAGTGTGTGGGTGGGTGGGGTAGGGGGGAGAAATCTGAAGTCTCAAACTTTACTAAGAGCATAAATTTAATCCTAGTATTTGAGCAGGAACCTATTGAACTGACTGTTTTAAGACCCAGTTAAAGAGCTAAAGACAGACACCCTGTGGTCGTTTGTAAAGGAGATGAGATAAATGTTGGAGGGCCTTTTCGTCCTTTAGTCTGACATGCGTTCCTGTTAGGATTATTTTGATGATGTGAATTGTATCATTCCTAATTGTATGAGCGACTGTTTTCAGAAATTACACTCTCAAATCCATGCCTTTACCGATGAGCGATGTGGCCCAGGCTTACAGGAATAACCCGGAGAAAACGGAGGAAGCCCTGCAGAAGGTATAGTGTACATCATGGGGATTGTGTTGCAGAGTGCAAGATTTTGAGCTCTTGAGTCTGCCAATTTCTTGTGTTGGGTTTGGAACCCAAACTTTGCTGCTAAATGTTACCACCAGGTTCTCGCAACATTGAACTGTTCCAGGAAGAGTAAACGCTTCAGAATGTTAAACTGAGCACTCCTGTTTTTCCAGATACAATCTTACCTTCTGCGGAACAATCAGATGAGGACCTTTCCTCCTGAACAAGCTTTGCGACTGGAGGAGGGGATTGTGACCAGTTCTACCCAGCAGGTAGCATGGGCTTTGCTACACAGAGAAAAATCAGCACTGACTTTTGTCCCAATTCACCCCCGGAGAGAAATATTCACTCTCTACTTATTTTATCATTTTAAAAAAAAACACCCATCTTTAGCTGTGAATGAGCACGTTTTGTGCGTGGTTTTATTCTGCATTTTATTTCTCACTTGCCTTTTAGACTGGTTTGGAGTTAAAGGTGTTGTTCATGCAGGATGTCATATATTTCATGCAATGAGAACCATTTTTTCATTGATGCCTAAATTTGGAGTCTTTTATTTAGTGGCTCCAGAGATTTTAACAAAAAGCTGAAGGTTCAGGGTGGGAGAAAAAGGCTGCATGTTAGTGAAGGTAGCAACCTTAAGTGTGTAACGCGGGTTCCTTATTCACACAGTGAGGATGAGATTAATGGTGCATTCTCAATATCTTGATAATCATTGCAGATTGCCTGGTATATAGCAGAGATAGACTTGTCCCTTGTACAATACTCTTTCCTCCTTTCCCTTTCTCCATTTGTTTGGTAATGTTTATAAGACGTCAGCATCGAGCAAACCAGCGGCTATATTGCTAGTTATAGGTTTGCACTTGTTTCTGCACAGATGGTGGACATTATGTGTGACAAGGTACAAGAGCATCTGAACATCATTAACAAAGGGCCTGTGAAGGAATTGCAAGAAGATCTAACCTTTGCCGAAGAAACCATAAAGGATGCGAAAATGCTAACCACTGTGAGTGCGTAAACAGGCCGTGGTGTCATTGGGGTTGTTAAATGTTTTTGAGGTTGTGTATTTTGTTGTGCTGGAATGTACCGAATGGCAATGCAGCAAATAGGACAATATGTGATGTCGCATCTTTAAACACAGAGTTTCAAATATCTCATGGTGTATATTTCTTTGAGTTGCCTGTATTTTTGACAGTACCCTTTGTGCTCTGTGGTATCGAGGTATACAGGTGCCTAAACTGAGACCGAATGTCTAAATTGAAGCATTTAGAATCCAAATTCCAGGCAGAGGGCGAAACCTTGGGCAAGTTTCCTTACTCCACACGCCTAATAATAATCCCTCCAAAAAAACAAAACAATAATAATAAATCGGTCATTTTCAATCCATATGACTGTTTGTGGGACATTGCTGTGCGCAATTGGCTGCCGCGTTCGCCCACAAATATACAGTCAATTCACTTTACAGTGTGTTCTGTGAAGCGCTTTGGGACGTCCTCCCGACGTGAAAAGCGCTATATCAAATGCAAGGATTATTATTAATATTATTAAGTTGGGCTACCGGTTGGGCTGATTTAACTTACTTCGACATAGCAGTTCGAATGTGCCACGGCTGATCTATCCCTTTAACATTTCCAGGAGTTAGTTAACGGTTCTACATTCTCAGTGGTTCAGTTTTGGTATGTGCTGGCGTAAACACGAGTTGCATTGCCCGTAAATAGCCCTTGAGCTTGCATACACATGAGTTTCTCATTCTGAAACGATAATGACAAGACTCGGTGTGTAACTGTGTCACCAGTTTACAGAATTGACAAGAATTAAATGAATCAAATTAAATGAATAAAGATCTATGGAAAATAAAGGTCTATGGAATACCCAAGCTTCTGGCAACATGTCCATTAGAACACATAGACACAAGTTGCCAAAAGATTTAACAAAGAGCCTTAAAATGTTTTAACAAAAAGTCCTCAACTTTTATATTGAATAAAATTTAGGGGTAAATAAAGGAATCCGATTCTTTGAGAGAGAACATTTGTCTTAACCTTATAATAATAATAATCCTTTCATTTGATATAGTGCTTTTCACATCTTCTCGACGTCTCAAAGCGCTTCACAGAATAGACTGTAAAGTGAATTGACCGTATATTTGTGGGCAGCCAATTGCGCACAGCAGTGTCCACAGTCGTGGATTGAAAATGACCAATTTATTATTGTTTTGGAGGGATTATTATTAGGCTCTGTGTGGAGTAAGGAAACTTGCCCAAGGTTTCGCCATCTGCCTGGAATTGAACCCAGGTGTCTCGCTTGCAAGGCGAGTGCTCTAACCCCTGAGCTACAGGACTCTACTTCCCCTTACACCTCCAGACTTCCCCAGCAAGGTTTGGGGGCAGTGGAGGAAAAGGGAGGAAGTAATAATGAAAACAAACTCTTCGACATTTTAAAAGAAAGATTTTAGTTCCTTAATATTTTGCGCTGTGAACTTCTCTTTGTCTCCTCTGTTTCTTCCATGTCTCTCGGTCTTCTTTTTACAGATATTGCCAGCCTTGTATCAAAGGGGCATCTCTCTGCCCTGTGAAAGTTCGATGCGTTCCAGGCTGGAGTCTGTTGCTGACGATATCTCCCAGGCTGCGAATATGGAAATCGAGGTATGAAATAGGAGCAAGAAAAACAATAACTAAAACTCATCTTTTTTCAGTGTGTGATAGGACTCAGTGCATCTGTCCTTTGGTCACTGTTGTTTGTCTCTGTCTACTTTTTTGATCACAGCTTAGATCCTTACATTTGTTATAGTGTCTTATTACGTCCTTGAGGCCTCACAGCGCTTCACAGGATATACCATAGAGTGGATTGAGTGTATATTTTGCGGGCAAAACGCGGACGCCAGTTAGTTGCGCACAGAAGTGTGCCAGAAAGTGGGGGGGGGGGTGTTCGTCTCTCCATGTATGTCTCTCTCGCTGTCTCTCTCTCTCCTCTCTCTTTTACACCCTCGCTTTAATCCACCTGCACTTGAACTTCTATAGGTTTGCCATATTCCACAGCTGCAGATGAAAGTCTGAAAATAAATACTCCAGTTACAATCACATTCATTAAAAGTGAATGAGGGGTATGGGGGGGGGGCGAAGAAATCACGGATTGCACAGATTTGGAAGTTTCCACACACCGTTTGGAATGGAGTCATGCCTTTGCTTTCACTTCTCTTCTCAGACACTCGTCCAGTCACTATTGGACTCCACTAAGAGCCTGTGTCCCAATACGTTGCAGAAAGCCAGTGTCCAGGAGCAGCTGGTGAACCCTGTGCTCAGCAAAATCTCCATCCCCCAGAACTTTGTGAAGAGTGCGATTATCGAGCAGGCTGGTTTGGAGATCGTCAATAAACTCAGGTCTGGAAAGTATTTAGCGAGACGGTGTTTTGATTGATTTGCCAACAATATTCAGTAGACTCTGTGTGTTCATGCGCTAGTTCTTTTTAGGGTCTTGAGACGAGTAATAATATTAATACGACAACAACTTGCGTTCATGTAGCGCCCTTCACTTGGGGTAGCGACCCAGAGCCCTTCAATAATACTGCTATTACTAATAGTTTTGGATTTGATACAGCTCCTTATCAGTGTTGTTGAGACGTCTCAAAGTGCTTGACAGGATATACTGTAAAGCTGCAGCGATGGTAATGAGAAGCCCTCGACACACAGCGCAGTGGTCAACAAAGTGTCTGTTTGTCTTGTGTCCCCACAGGGAGGTAAAGCTGAGCATCACTGCTGCGTTCATCGATCGCACTGTTGAGCACACACTGAAGGAGCTGATAACTGCCCAGCAGAAGCTTGTGAGTGTCTTCATTCAGTGCTCAGACAATGGAGCTCAAGATAACCTCAATTACCCCCAGTCCATATGAATAAACCTATCTCTGACGTTTTCTCCTTCCTCTCCATTGTGTCCAATTCACCAGTCGTTCACTGACTCCGTGAAACTTTCAACTCGATCTCTTTACTTTGTTTAGGCACATCACTTGCCGAAACCAGGGTTTGGATTCTCAGCCCCAGACGAAGCCAGCTCAGAATCCTTGGGAGATGAGACCATGGTGAAGGGAAGCGAGCCATTGCTTGCAGCAGCTCAACGGCTGGCACCAGTTGAGGTACAGACAGTGGGATGTGGGTTTCACTTTCCTCCGTTACTTGTCTAACTATTTGCAATATTGCGCCTCGGAGTTTCTCCTGTGAAAAGTTGCCTGGTCTTCATTCAGCATCTTCCTACCAGCGGGGTAATAATAATCCTTGCATCTGATATAGCGCCTTATTACATCGTTGAGATGTCTCAAAGTGTTTCGTCGAATATACTGTAAAGTGGATTTGTGGGCGAAACGCAGCAAGCAGCCAATTGCGCTCAGCAGTACATGAGATTGCCAATTCCTTGTGGGATGGAGTTGGGCGCGAACCGGCTGTCACATTACACGGTCACTACACTTTACAGTATATCTTGTGAAGCGCTTTGAGGGGTCCTTTCTTAAAAGGCGATACATCAAAAGAAAGGATGATTTATTTTTCCTCTGATATAAAGATAAATGCTCTCCCCTTCGTTTTCCCCCACCCCATTACCATGGTGCTGACATTGATGGTACCTAACCTACGGGTGCTCAATCTAGCCAGCTGGGAAGCAATATATCGAGTGTTTGTTGGACCTATTACTAGTTTACCACAGCTCTTGCTCTTTGTCTATGTATTCATTTTCCTAGTCTACAAGTAATGCTTGTTTGGAAACCTGTAATCTCCTCAGAAGTGTAGAAAATTCATTTCAGTGAATAACTCAACATTTAAGGCCAGGAGTAACTCGGGGCAGAATCACTCGCTGCAGTTACATCGTATTAAGATTATCCTAATTAACTTTAAAATAAATGGCTTTAAGGGGAAAGTGATAATGTCAAGAGGGTGGTGGGGGAGTGTGGGGGTGGGGGGGGGATTGTATTTCAGAGCCTCCCGCAGCTAAAATTGGCTCAAAAAATAGATGTGATTATAGGCAATTTGGCCGACACTTCAGGGCTGCATTTTGAAGGTTTAATTCCATGTGACCTTCCATTTGATTTGAACATTGCTGGAATCAGAATACTCTGCTGTAGTTTTTTTTGGTCAGCCGGGTGTCTGATACCTGTAGAAACTCATCGCCAGGCTTAAGAGTATCCAAACCCAACTGAGAATTCCATGCATCCCACCTGCACATGAAAATAAATCCCAGAGATAAGATTGTTGGAATGGAATGCGCAGTCTCTCCTACGTTGAGTGTCAAAGGTGACTCACTGATTCTTAATTGTCCACAGTCTGCGTCAACTCTTCGGAGGAAGACCATCCATTCCAGACGAATCAGACCGACTGCAGCGTTAAAACGTAAGTTGTAATGTCAGGTCTATGTATCTGAATTCTCTATAAGTCACTCCTAACCGAAACGTGGCAGCCAAGTGCACACAGCAGTGTCTCAGAAACAGTTCTGGATTGAGTAGTCCATTTTTTTTTGAGGGATTATTACCCCTGGAAAGCAATCTGCCAATTGACTAACAACTGGGTTCCTACTTACTGCTAGGTAAACTGCTAGGGTCTGGGGTAAGGAAACTTGCTGAATGTTTATGATCACAAATGAACTCTAAAAATTGTAAATTTTGCACTAGGAGTGTGCAAGCAGTTTCCCCAATGTATATTTAGCCCATGCTCTTAATATGGATGATGTAAGTATGTGTATCAGACCTCAGGGGCTGCAAAAGCCCTTTGAATAACTTCCACTCGAAACAAGTGTCTTAAGTTAGTGTGTTCTGTGAATTTTTGGAGAGCTTTCATTTCTCCCTCTTTTCACCCTTTAAGGCGTGTCTGAATTTAATCTGGAAAGACAAGTTGAGGAAATGGACTGTCTGGCAGAGAAACAGTTGTTGTCAGTCAGTGGACGTCCAATGTCCCACCCAGCCTGCGTGGAGATTGCTTTCCCAGTGCCTCCTCTCACGGGCTCTTTCACGAACTTGCCGACCGAAGGGCAGAAATTGGAGCATTACACCAGAGGCAGGCCGAAGCCAAACAGGACCAAGAGACAGCCTCCCTCCAAACCTGTCGTAAGTCTGTAACAGCTGCTAGAGATGATGATGATCCTTGCATTTGATATAGGGCATCTCAAAGTGCTTCCCAGAATTTTACCGGGACGTGTAGTAACTGTGTATTTGAAGGCATAGCCATTGGCCAAGTTGCGCCCAGATACGTCCCATAAACAGTCGAACAGTAAATGACCAATTTTTAAATTTGAGAATTGTTGGCCCGGACACCGGGAGAAAGAATCTCCCTTCTCTTTTTGAATAATGCCACTGGATCTTTAATGTCCACCTGAACGGGCAGACGAGACCTCGGTTTGTCTCACCTGAAGGATGGCACCTCTGACAATGCAGTGCCCCCCCAGCACTGCACCTGAGCATCAGCATCGACTGTGAGTTTGAAGCCCCAACATGGGGCTTGAACCCTCAACCTTCCGATTGAGGGACGAGAGCCAGACAGAGACCTGGATGGGGGTTTAACACGCAGCAAAAGAGCATTAGCCAATGTGCAGCACTGAATTTGAATCTAGGATTTTGTTGTTCTAAAACCGAAACAAAGAAATTGTTCGCAAAACGCAAAATACCGCAGATACTGGAAATCAGAAGTCGCTGGGAACACTCAGCAGGTCAGGCAGCACCTATGGAGAAAAGTGAGTCAACGTTTCGGGTCCATGACCCTTCGTCAGAACTGAAGGGACCTGTTCTTACGAAGGGTCGTGGACCCGAAATGTTGACTCACTTTTCTCCATAGAGAAACAAAGAAATTGTCGTTTTTAGCATGATGGAAACCAATATTCTAAAGGTGGCAATTTATTTCAAGTTGCAGTTAAATGTTCTTGAAATACAGCCCAGTGCTTCAATGGTCTGGTAGAGAACAACTTCCCATTGATTCAATACTTTCAATACTTTCAGTCAATAGTCAGCACTCAAATCCAAAAGACACTCTAGACCCTTTAACTAAGGTGCTGCACATTAGATGTATGTTCTCAGCCTCTTGGTGTTAGAAGCTCAAAGTGATGGACTATCAGACGAGTGTTTATTTTGTTCTGCAGTCGACAGTCGCTCTGGGTCATCTATTTCCATAACAGTCCAGTTCTGTGGGCAGCTCAGAGCTGGTCACGTTTCTGTGACAGCTCAGCAAGTCTCTCCAAATACCTGCTGATTGCTACGGTGTTAATTAGAAGGAGTTCGGATTGATCAGTATTACCTGTTGACTGGTATGCTGTTGAATAATAGCTGAGTTCAATGGTCGACTGAAATTCTTCCCGAGGCAGAAAGGATTTTCAGTTCGATTTGAACACGGTCTTAGACCAGAGATGGTGGTTTCCTTCAAAAGGGTTTCAGGTTCACCTCCTGGACCCATGGTCAGACAGAGACACTCATTGAGATCTGCCGCTGTGTGCTATAGGTGCAGCCTACAAACCATGAAAATGAGGATCAGGAAACCATCAGCACACTGGACGAAGGACTGGAAGAGTTCTTCACGAACAAGACAACCCATGGGAAATACTGGTATGTGCTCGCCACCTAATGCGGTTAACATAATGCTGTCGTAATCTTTTGAATTTGGTAAAGTGCCTTATCACATCATCCAGACGTCTCCAAGTACGTCACAGGATTTTACCATAAAGTGTTGTAGTGACTGTATTTTTTGACAATCACACATAGGCAATTTTCGTTTAAATTAGTCGATACGGTAGACGAGTACATAGACAGCGTTGACGAAGCACCCAAATACGTTTCGGACAGGGAACCCGTTGCTGATCCCTGACTGACTGACTCTCCTCTCCCTCTTTCTCCATTTTGAACAGTAAGAACCAACCAACGAAGAGGGCGGAGCACAACATCCCCCCGAGAAGCAAAAACAAATTCCTGAAATTCAGCGACTTCTTTGCTTTCAAAATATCCAAGTTCACCAAACCCCAAAAGTCGGACAAGGAACCTGAGGGCAAACCGCCGAGAAGCAAGAGCCCAGCGCCCGAGTTGCTGAGACCCCGTCGCAAATCAGGAGAGGCGCAAGTTCAGGCCACCCCACACGAGGGCGCCACACCACAGGCCTCAGAGAGAACCCGACTGTCGACTATGCAGGATGTCTGCAGACCCCGGTCACCAAGAGCGGCCAAAGCACAGTCGTTAATTCTGCTGCCTGGGATGAAGCAAAGCGAAGCTCTGTCGATGCAGCTCTCAGTACCGAGCGAGCAGGTACGTTAACCCTCCCTTACCCCAAACCCCCCCCCCACCCCGCTCCCCAGCTCAGATCCAAATCCCTGACTGTCCAGCTCCTTGGGACGTGCTCTCGACGTGAAAGGCGCTGGACAATTGTTGTTTTGTATTCAGTCGATGGGAATGTTTCAGATGCTTAATGGCGGGGGGTAGGGTGGGGGCGGGCATTGGGGTTTGCGGGGCGGTGGGTCTGCAGTGAGGCAGCAGTGATTCAGCATTCAGAAATTCTCTTTCGACTTATCCCCAGGATACCTTAATTTTATCAGTGTTCTTAGACTCTTCAACTTCAGAGATCTTTTCCCCTCTAACAAGCCCCTCTCCCGAGAAAGACCTCCAATCTCACTGCTTATTGACTTTGTGAGTTAGCGTCTGGATCTGTAACCTCTCGTTGCTGTGTGCATGTGCAGGAGTTGAACTTGGAGCCGTATATTGGGAATGAGTTGTCACAGTCTGACCTCCGCATCCACACTGTGCTGCACAGAACGGGTGCAAAAGTGATGCCCATCAACCCAAAGTCAAAGCTGGTAAGGAGGAAGTGGAGTAGCATTTTGGTTAGAGCACTCGCCTCGCAAGCCTGGGCTCGATTCTTGGGCAGGGTGAAACGTTATGCAAGTTTCCTTCCTCCACTTGCCTCTGTTTACCTAGCAGTAAGTAGGAACCCGGTTGTTAGTCGATTGGGGGATCGCTTTTCCAGGGATAATCCCTTTTATATNAAAAAAAGTAATTGGGTCACTCAATCCACGACTGCTTGTGGGACACCGCTGTGCACAATTGGCTGCTGCGTTTCGCCCACAAAATATACATTCAATTCACTTTACAGTATAGTCTGTGAATCGCTTGGAGACTCACGAAGATGTGATAAGGCGCTGTATCAAATGCAAGGATTATTGTTATTATAAAATCTCAGTGTGTAGAGGGCAGTGACCTTCCTAATGAGGAAAGTGACAACAAAACCCTAGTCGTTCAGTTTATTATTGTACAAGAATCTAGTCTGTGCGACAATGCACATGATGTCCAGAGATCTGCCCTTATAATAATATTAAAAATCGTTGCAGTTGATATAGCGCCTTATCACTTCTTTGAAACATCTCAAAGCGCTTCACAGATTATACTGTAAAGTGAATGGACTGTATATTTTGTGCGTGAAACACGGCAGCCAATTGCACACAGCAGTGACCCGCAAACAGTTGTGGATTGAGTGACCAATTATTATGGATTTCTAATAGATTATTAATCTATGGATCTTGGAAGCATTGAATTATGTGTTACAGTAGCAGCAATGCAAGGTATAGCCTTGCTATAATGCATCAATTGTTGTATAAAGCAGCCAGTGGGGGAGCTGTCGTTGCGATGAAGCCTGTCACTTCTTCAGCAGTCCAGCTTCCAGAGGTAAAACACCAGCAGAACTAACAGAGTCATCCAGCCACCCCTGGGAATGCTTTAGACGAATTTGTGGAAGTTTTACCTCAAATTACCTGAGACTGTGCCTGAGCTATGGTCTGTAAACGGTCAATTCCTTAGGCAATACTCAAAGCCCCTATTTAAAACCTGATCGGCTTTGAGGTTTCCTCGCACGAGCTCACAGAATGCAAAGTGAGCCAAGCGGAGGTTATATCCCGACCCTAAGACCCAGTACTGCATTTGCTCATTGTGCAGAACATCAAAAATGTTTTTCCATGTTCTGGAAACTATTTGTGGGGACACTGCTGTGTGCAAATTGGCTGCCACATCTCCCTACAGTCCCTGGACTTAAATCTTTGTGAATTAGAGATGTCTTCCTGGCGTGAGATATCCAATGCAACGATTATTATTTATTAGGATTATCAAATAAATTCCCTGAAATCAAACACACAAGGAATGTCAGCAAAGCTTTTTCAACTGAGTTTTTTTGATGGGGGATGGGGAGGTGGTTAGCAAGTACTATTGCGCTCTGGGACACTATATAAATGCAAGTTGTTGTTATTGCAGTCTATCCAAAGTAAAATTAAAGATCAATCCATGTGCTGTCTCTTCATTACAGAGTGTTGGGCTGAGTCCTGGCTACGTGATGCTCTGTGGAGTCCTTGTCCTGCATCTACGTTCTAGCACAGCACCCAGTCTCACCCAACCCCAGTTGTAGCACACGTGCTTGGCTCTGACACCCTTCAATGTTGCTGAGCACCTTTGAGTCGGTGTCCACGTCAAACATCTCTGCTCTCCCAGTCCCCACATTTGGTAGAAGCAAGTAATCGCTACCAGCATTTCACATTAGATTGTTCACCCACTTGGCAAGGTGGCTGCCACTAGCAGCAAAGGCCTACATTGATTTTAGTGGGAAAATTCCAAGTCTATTTGTCACATACATTCCCCGACAACCTCTTTACTCTTTGTTTTTCAGAACACAGATTCCGAGTCTGGAGGAACGAACTATTATGGTAACATATTCTCTTACTACCTACCCCAATAGAAATTCACAGCCCTCTTTGAGTCGATGACAATATATTTAGGTGATCCAACATATTGGAGGGGGTCAATATACTGAGAGCACTGACTAGTGTTTGGGTATTGCTTGAGAGCAGAGTCAGCAGATGATCCATTTCAGTGACTGAAGGCCACAATTTCGAATGACTTTGATACGTCAGAGTTAGCTATTTGGCAGCTCGCAAACCGCAGGTCTGTCGAGCGCCTGTTATTAGGTCTGCTATTCTGCTGCTAATGAACAGTTTTAATGAATGAACCTGCCATTAATACAATTCAGACACCTGTCACTGAACAAGGCATTTTTCCCTGTGGAAGTGCTGCACTTGGATCCAACTTAAACTATTTCACATGAATGTCATTGCGCCTTTGGTCACCCTCCTACCCAAACCCTCCACCTCTCTTGATCCCAACTCCCAGCTCGGGACCACAGCCTTGACTGTCCAGCTCTTTGGGACCTCATCCCGATGTGAAAGGTGCTATGCAAATGTAACGTAATTTGCTGTTGCTGCTGTTTGAGAGCTGAGAAACATGAGGATTGGAGACTCAGACTTCGCAAAGATTTGAGACATTGTCCAAGTTGTTGTGGACTTGGAACCGAAAAATGAATCTGGGAAATATTTGGAATAGGAGGTAGGGAGGCCAGCTCCTTTTCTCAGGAAAAATAAAAACTCGATCTCCGTTCATGGCTACGTTCAGCCATCCCCCTTCCCTCCCCCCCCCACTCTCCCGCTTCCATAAAACCTCTATCGGTCATTTTTTTTGAAGGAGGTGAGAGTGGAATCTCTCATCAGCCCATTCTGCTATTCCTCTGCCTCTGGAATATAAAGCAGCCACAGGCTCTGCTTACGGTGCTTCCAATCCAGGCACAGCTGGTGTCATGATGAATAGCAGCAGCAACACTGTAAGGCACACTCGCTGGGTTACAAACCCTGCGTGTCCCCAGGTAGCGTCTCCAGCAGGTAGTGTCCCCATCACCTGCCAGTTTCAATCGCGCACCAGCTGAGCTCCTGTCCATTTTGCTGGGTAATTGCGATGACATGTCTAGCAGGTCTGCCGCAGCCAAGGCCCCTTTGAATTATTGCACCTCCTTCAAAGCACCTTCGCGTTTGCTCAGTATCAGCGCAGTCCTCGAATGTCATCAACTTCGTGATCTTCGTGTCAGAAGCGGCTCAATCAAGCCGGGAAGGAACGGGAGCCGCAGAGAATGACTGAGCTGCCTAAGCAGTTTGGAATTCAGTGATTACACTGCGTGACTGTATTCAGTGAATGACTGCCAGTTCAGTCACTGTAGATTGAACATAGCTGAGCTGAATGTGGAATAATGGATTTGGACGGCATCGGGAAGCCTGACCTGAATACTGATCCAAGGCAAATGCAACAAGCCTGGGTGTCTGGAGCTTGCTGTACAGGCTGGCAAATGTTGTGGCCAAAAGAACATCCTCCCACTTTTGATGCTCCTTTACTGCTCGCTCGGGTGAAAATGCAAACGCTGCTGTGCGCAACTGGGCTGCCGTGTTTTGCCTACAGGCAATTCACATTACAGTATATCCTGTGAGGTCCTTTGAGATGTCTCAATGGTGTAATAAGATGCTATATCAAATACAAGGATTATTATTATTGTAAATGTGCCTATTGGTTGTCTTGACAATTCATTACAGAGAGGTGTATCAGACTTCTTTCCTCCCCCCCATGATCAGACAGATGCGTCACCCCCCCCCCCCCCACCCCGCCCCTCCTCGTGTGGAGAAAGGAGACGCAGAACACTTTATTTATGCTGGGAGAGATGGTGGGGCAGTAAGATGCTGTCCTGCTACCCAGAGCAGCACAGTATCTTCTCCCCACGTTAATAGGTGATTTATTCTTAAGGGTAGGCTGTGTCCCGCAATCCAAAGTTTCATTTAAAAGAACTGAACCATCAAAGTGTTTGTGAGATTTGCCTGGTTCAGGCTGTTCTCAAACACCCAAGGAAGCACGTCCATTGCCTCAGTAGCTCCAGTTCATGTCGCTAAGGGCTGTCTTTGTGGCAGTCACAGTGACTTTCGGTAACTGCTGGACGAGGTGCTGATTCGCAGAGTGAGATAGCATAGAAACTGGCCATTTGGTCCAACTAGTCCATGTCTGCGTCTATACTTTACACAGGCCCCCACCACTCCTATCCCCTTCTATGGGATAGTCACATCAATAATACTACATGTATAATCTATTTGGTTCTTTATGATAATACCTGGTTTGTTACGGATTATTGTGCTATCTCTCTGTATTTATGAATCCCAGATTATTGTGATGTTATTTTTGAGTGTTAATGTTCATACCAGTTGGCCTTTACATCAATATCAATGTGTATACAAATTGTTTTAAGAATGTAATTTATTATAATTATTACTAGCATTGTCTGTGTTGTATCTCAAAAGCAGTTTTAACGCTGCCTGATTTTTGAATGTGTGCAGTGTTAGTGCGCACAGGGCATTAGTGCACTGTTTACGTTCGTATCTCAATACGAAAGTGGATGTCTCACAGTAACATTGCTCTGTGCTCTGTTGAAGAGGTGTCTGCGGAGAAAAAAACTCAGCCTCCCTCTCGAGCAATGAAACTTTCTGCTTTGGCCAATATGGATGAACCCAGCACAGTCCGTGATGCAGGTAAAGCTGTTTAACTTACTTCCACATTTGGTAGAAAGGGGACTGTTTTATTCTACATTGAGAGTTGATTCGAGCTGTGCAACCCTCTGGTTAAGCTACAACTAGAGTACCGTATACAGCAATAGTCATCACTGCACCACAGAGCCAAGGCACAGGAGCGCAGTGAGGTTGATCTCCAGTGTTAGAGGGATCAGCAATAAGGTATAACTAGATGAGCTAGATTCAGTCTTGATAAACAGTGTCTCTGAGGGGTGCTTTTCGAGATGAGGAGAAATCTTAACGAGATTGAGAGAGCAAACCCAGAAGAGGCTTTCTGGAAGGATGAGATAAAATGACCTGAAGGACCTTCTTCAACCAAACGTTTCTTATCATCTGATCTACTTGGAAAGCACAGAAGCTATATTCGCAGCACAGCATTTTGTTGTTGGGAATGTTGGCTTGTGATTTATTTACTTGAATAGACGCCACACTCGCTGTGTGGTTCCTTTGCCCTGGTGTGAATGTGAATTCTGGCATTTTAAGCTGCTGAGTTCCTCTCGAGCACAAAAGTGCCAATTTCTGTGGCTGGTGATGGAGGCCATGTCTCTGGCCTGGAGCCATGAGAAAGGAGTCCAGCAGATAGCACTAAGGAAAGGGTGTGCGCTTGGGGCTGAAGCTATTTCCCGTAATCTGCTTCAGCGATCACTCTTCACACTCCTAAAGCCCGAGAGTTTCCCCAAACATTACAGGTTGGCACTGCTCAGGGCCTGTTATCAAGGACCTCACACACGTTCCAGGCAAACCCGCAACGCAACACTTTAAAAAGCGAGCACGGGGCAGGCAAAGTGCTTAGGGTGGAAGACAAACATTTAGCTGGGGCTCTCCCAACCTCCTGTCTGTTGATTCATTTAGACGACGAGGATTCTGAAACCACATCGTTAAGAGAAGCCAAGGTGGGAGAAGTCAGCAGCGACAAGAGGTCTGAAGGTTCCCAAATGGTATCGGAAGGGCGTCAGCAGAGGATCCTGCTTCCTCCCCACAGGAAACTGCTGCGGCCGAGAGCCATGGACAGGCGATCCAGTCCTTCACCTCTGCCAAGAAAGCTTGCAGGGTCGGAGAAGAGTTTTAGTCTGAGTGTGAATGGCAGCCCCGAGGAGCACAGGAACCACCAAAACAAAATACACCCACCATCTGAAGGTAGTTAGTCCCACAGACTAATTCTTGATCCCAAGGAAACAGCAGTGAGTAGTAGTTTGTAATGAATGCTCCAGTTGAGGAAAATTCAGTCTCATCACTGAATCCAGAGAGTCACAGCAGCTTTCATGGGAGGGTTTTAAGCATGTCTTAAATATTAATATTCACTGGCACTAAGTGTTTGGATTCTGTACTCAGGAGAGTGTAGGGTGGGATGAAACAAGAGGTTCTGGGGAGACTTTCCACTAGATGGAGAATATATAGAGGATGGAGCTATGTGGAGCAATTTCCCACAGAGAGATTCCTCCTCTCCTCCCCCTGCCTGAGGAGACCAGAAAATGAAACTGAAGTCCAAGCTTGAAGTCAGATCTGTTCTGATTGAAACTTGCCTGTGCTGTGTCTTGCTGTCCTGGTCTCTTAGTTGATACAAAGGTATATTTGAAAGAAAAAAAAATCCATTCAGGACAACAGCACAACTTCACAACAACAACAACAAGATTTCATTTATAGAGCGCCTTTCACGTCGGGAGGACGTCCGAAGGCGCTGGACAGTTGGGTCAGCATCCGAGCAGGGGGAAATGGTCAAGGGGAGGGAAAGGAGGGAGCGAGGAGTGGGTAGAGAGTCGAGAGGAGAGCTGAAGGCTCGGTCAAAGAGAAAGGTCTTGAGACCAGCCTTGAAGGAGGAAAGGGAGGAAGCAAGGCAAAGGCACTGGGGGATGGAATTCCAGAGCCTAGGGGCTAAGAGGCTGAAGGCCCGGCCACCGATGGTAGGGCGGTTGGGGCGGGGGATGTGGAGCAGACCGGAGCCAGAGGAACGGAGGGTACGGGCGGGTAAGTAGGGGGATAGTAGGTCAGAGAGGTAGGAGGGAGCAAGGCCGTGAATGGCCTTGAAGGTGAGGATCTTGAAATCAATCCTCTGGGGGATGGGGAGCCAGTGGAGGTGAGCGAGGGTGGGAGTGATGTGGTCCCGAAGCCTGGTGCGGGACAGCACACGAGCTGCAGAGTTCTGAATGACCTGCAGCTTGTGGAGGGAGGTGCCGGGAAGGCCGGTGAAGAGAGAGTTCCCATAGTCCACAGTCACTTAAGTTAGAGGCGAAGCCAGGCAGTTATTAGCTCACCAGGGAGACAGGTTTGTTACAGGCGTAAGTTTCCAAGCACCAAATCCTACCTGTTTATTTAAACATAGTCCATTAGTCATTATGTGAAGGGGAGATTTTGGAAGGTGGGGGAGGATATAGCGGATATTGCAGTGAAATTGTATGACAGAACTAGAAGATTATTGTAAGTTAATTTTTTCTTTATTTCTTCTGAAGATCCATCCTCCGGCAGTGATGAAACAGAAGAGAGCAATGTTTCTCAGGCTTCCCATACTGCGGGTAAGTGCACTCAGGAAAGGGGGAGCTGGCTGGCAAGCAGATTATGTGGTCCATTGCACCCACAAGATTGATCACTGCTCTAGCACTTGGTGTTTTTTCTTGTACATCTGTGATTTTAAGAAGTCTCTCAACCTCCGAGGTATCTGGCAAAAGGAGAAATACTGACTTGTTGTACAATTACTTGAACATTTTTCATTGTTGAGGGCAGGACTCGTTTAAGGAATTGTTTAATTCACTTTGCAGTATATCCCGTGAAGTGCTTTGAGACGTCTCAACAACATGATAAGGAGCTATATTAAATACAAAGATTATTATTGTAAACTGTTTCATGATGTCGAGGGAGGACCGTTTTCTTAAACGATTAGATTAGGTGAAGAGTGTTCTTCAGCAAATCAGCCCCTTGTGGCATAATGAGGAGGGTATGAATGGGTTCTTTTATAGCGATGACTAGTAACCCTGTAACCACTAATTTTGCAGCTACCTGTGGAGAACATACAGTAGAATTATGGCCTTCGGAGATATTAAATAACCAGGAAGGAAGCCTGTGATTGGAAAAGAAAACCTTTTACTCTGAGGAGATGGTGATGCCTCGGGAGCAACCCAGCTTTGCTCCAGTTCCTCCTGGAGCTCATGAATCAGAGCTGAGTATTGAACTGAGTGCGGAAATCCTTACCAATGGACAGTTGCTGTTTTCTGATCTCTGTGAAGAAACGTCTTGAAGAGAGAGAGAAAATCACAAAAACTGTGCGTGTGTGTGAAACCATTGTCTATGTATAGTTTGTAACATTCAGCTCACACCTTCTCTGCACATGGGTGCGGAAGACTGCAACAAATCTAGTGACACCTTTTTTTATAAATGTAAACTATACTATGTCTCCTTTACACCTCGGGTAGGTTAAGACTTAGGAGCTGGAATCCAGGTCAAGGAATAAAAGAGTCCAAAGGACATAGTAACCTCGTCAACTTGTTTAGAATTTCTGTTTTCTGGTACCTTGGATCTTATTAAATGTACCTTTTTTCTTTTTTTAAAAAAAAAGAAAATCTGCTTCGTGAAAATGCAGCAAAGCTGTGGATTAAAACCCTCCTCTTCGACCGTGCCATCAGCCATCCCCCTTCCCTTATCCCCCCAACCCCAGCTTGGGTCTGAAATGCTACAGCGCCTTGGAACATCCTCCCGACGTGAAAGGCGCTATACAAATGTAATCTTGTTGTTGTTGGATATTCCTGTGTTGCTCGATCATTTGCTGCTTCCAGTTCTCGGAGGCTTGCCCAGCCCGTGCCAATGCTCTGCAAACGCTTCAGCCCATTTTAGACCCAGTAGAGGGAACTTTACCATTCACAAAGACTTCACGTCACTGATCGCATCTGGGGCTGTGAATCTTATTCATTTTTAACTCCACAGATTTTTCCTGAGGTTGTCCGGCTCCTTTTTTGTCCACTTGGGTGCAGTTACTTGGCCGCTGGGTTCTCCCCTTGTATATTGTCCAAATGTTAATGGATTGTTTGTGGGTGAGCCTTGACGGTGAGTGTCACAGGTTATCTGACTTGAGAGCTTCACAGCTATGCCTTCATGAATGAGGAGAAATTCCACCTGGGTCTAGAGTTACTCTCCATTGCTGACCCAAGTTCACAATTTGCCTGGATGCCTTAAATGCTTCATAAATAGAGTAAATTTAGATCCAGATTGTGCCTCTCCAACTGGGTTACTGGCTAGTGCTCAGGAGTTAGAGCATTGATTGAATTTTCCTTCACTAAACTGAGACGTTGTGCGTTCGTCCGCAAAACACACAGTCAATGCACTTTAGAATAAATCTTGTGTCGCACTTTGGGACATCCTCCGGATGCGAAAAGCGCTGTATTAAATATAAGAATTATTCTTATTTATGAGCAAACTGAATAGTTAGTTCCTGAAATTATTTATTTGGAAGTTTATTTATAACTGGAATTGTTTAACCCGTGAGATGCTGCTAGATACAAGCTTTGTAGCACTTTTTCCTCCCATGTATTGGCTCTGACAGGTTCCTCTGAATTAATTCTAACTGCTGTTCCTTAAGTTCCTGCACATCACTCGATTTGTTGGTAAGTTCACTGTTTAAACCGTTTTAAAAATGTGCTAATCCGTGGCACAAATGGAAACAATAGGTGTCATTTTGTTGGGGGGGGGTGGGGGATAGAAGACAGAATAGTGAGCGTGACAGTGATAGCAACTAGAAGTGATAGCAATTGCTCAATTTTTTTTCTGATGCTGCTCCAGACTTTCCGGAATGTCATTCGAGTGGTCAGAACTCAACCCAGAACGTCCTGTTCAGGAGGACTACTTAATTTGTAAACCGAAGAATGCCTTTCCATTCAATAAGACTGATCCCTGTGGAAGAATGTACTGCGTGATCCAGAACGTCAATTCATTGCAAAATACGAGTCGGAACTGTGGCTGGTTTACCCACCTCTTCGGCAGTGGTGCCGAGGCCAATTACAGTACCCCTACTGTGACCCAAGAATTAAATCTGCTCACTCAGCACAGACCAGAAATAGATTATGGGATCTTCCTGTTTTGTATGGGTCAGTAAAGCCCTGTGCTCCGTGATTCACCAGAGACATCTTGGAGAGCACTTGCTGCTTCCTATTATTCCATCCTGCGTTTTAAATTGAGGTCTTTTATTTTAAATGAGGGCTTCAACTGTGTGTGTGTGTTTGTGTGGTGTGTGTGTGTGTAGTGGGGTGGGGAGGAGAGAGGAAAAGAGGAATGAAGTTGGAACATTTGCACCATGGATGGGGGTAGATGGCAGTGATGCAATTGGCATTAACAAAACATGTCCCATATTTAATTAGATATTTGTTAAAAAAAAATTTAGGAAAACAAACATTGCAATGTTGTAACAGCTTTCTCCTGCCATTCTGCATCAGCACAACCCTGTTCAACATACAGGAGGTAAAATCTTTTTATGCAGTACAGCTGGTTTCTGTACATTTATATCTACATGTGGCATCGGCTCAGTAACTCAGCTATGAGCTATTCGAAAAGAGGAATTGCTCCCAGTATCCCAGCCAGCAACCCCCTCAGATAAAATCGATCATTCACTTCATCGCTGTTTGTGGGACATTGCTGTGCGCATGCAAATTGGCTGCCACATTCGCCTGGAAAATATACAATCGCTACACTTTACAGTAAATTCTGTGAAGCGCTTTGAGAAGTCCTCCCAATGTAAAAGGCGTTCTATCAAATAAAAGGTTGATGATCATCGTTTTAAATTAAACGTGCGTTGTAATCTTTCTCTTGGAAGTATGTCTGCCTATTAAAGTGGTATTCTGTTGAACCCGTAGGTCTCCATCTGGACAGACAGCATTAGTTGGGAGTTCCGTTTGGAATAAAGGTACTGATTTTTACCGTCTGAATTCACAATCGTTTCAAATGATGCAACAAGACCTTTTCTAAACATTAAATTGTTAGGCAAAAGATATTAGCAAAATCTAATAACTGTTTAAAGCAGCTATCTACATGTATGATCACACGAAAATGCAACAGATTTAAGAGGCTTAAAGGGTGTTATGAAAGCTAATGTAGCACACATAACCATATTATGTGCTTCACTGAACTCTGGATCAAGGTTTAGCGTCAATCTGGGTACATTGGGATGTGCACGAGACCATTTGGTGTCCATATGGCTGGTCCCAATTTCTAAATACTTCTACCTCACATATCAGGGCCATTAGAACTATTGCTTTGTTAGTGATTAACTCTGGTACGCTCACAGAAGAAATGTTTAGTTTATAAATTTAGATCAAAGCTGTTGGATAAGTGGCTCTTGTCAAACAATCTAAAAGCAATTCTTTCAAATATTTATTACCTGCAAGGGAGAGGAGTGAGTAGGGATATCCTGCTTATGCTGGATATTATGTTTCCTACTAAGTGTGGCAACTTTGATGTGCCCTTCTCCAAGGATCTCCCATTATAAATGCACATTAATACAGTAAGAATAATCTCATGGGATACGCTTGTTCCAGCGGTGACTTGACAACTGGAGGTGCAGAACGCCTTGGACTAGATTGATCGTGAACAAGGACGACAGTAAAATGAACTCCTTAAATCATATGGAAATACATTCCAATGATTTTAAATGAATTCAAAGCTTCAACTAGCTGTTAATGCTAAACTTTCACAACAGTTATTGCAGACGTTTTATCTTGTAATGAATGCTCCTGTTACAGGAAATTCAGTCTTGAAAGATTTGCGAGGTTATCAGTAAAAATCAAAACATAGCGGAGCCCATTAATCAATATTTCTGTTGGTTATTTTGCTGTTTTTTTTATATAAGTGCAGTGGTGTAACACAATTTATTACAAATGACAAGTTCCAATGCCTGTGGAAAACTAATCCCAACCGAAGTACTGTATGGAAGACAAAATATAAATAATAGGCATGTTTGAAGTCGGTCTGTAGATTCCCAAATCTTGTGCCTTATTATGCTATGTGCCATATACAAGATCAGTTCCACCTTTGATTAGACTTTATACATAGACACACGGCTTTGCCTTTTTACTGCTATAAATAACTAACGTGATTTTCACACTTCTAATACCCTCAAATGGTTTTATTGTGCTCGAGAAGGAATGTGTAATTTCCCATGTTAAGTGTGAAATTCCCCCTCACTGGTGCTATTGACAAATTGGGGTTTGTCAGTGCAAACTCTAAATATAGAGGTTGGTCAGTCCAAATAGCTGAACCAAATTGGCAGCAACTTAAATTTTCTGATTAGAAGGGGTATTTAGTTTTGTGCATAACAAGGGTTATTTTATTGATTGAAATGCCTATTTTGGTCAAAGAACAGTGAGCAAGAAACATACAAAAATGTAAGCGGTTTGTAAGTCGATAGAAATGGGATGTGTCACTCACTAGACAAAGCTTTTAGAATTTTTGGCAGATTACAAGTCCCATCTGTTGGTGTCCATTGGCTTCCTCCACTAGTACAGGGTCAATTGTATGGTATAAACTAAATATCACAGTTTTAGTGGGTTAATCCAGGATTAATGAATTGGTCAACCATCTGTTTTGACATGCAGTGTCCCACAACAAAAATTGTATCCCTTGCATCCATGCTTTTTTTTAAAAAAACTGACTTTTTAAAGCTTCTTAAGGAATGGGTAACTCGATTCCTTTGTCAAGTTCACAGAATTAATGACCTAACTTTACACTGTGTTTTATTGACATAATGGCTCCGTCTCTCACTGGATGTGTTCAACTCATGGTATCATCTGGGAACAGTGGGCAAACATAATTCTAGCAATTATTTAAATGTATATCATTTAAATTGTAGACTAAGAATGCTGAATTTACACTGTTTTAGGTTTCATTTTTCAGTAAGCAGTGTGTGCTGTTGGCACTTACTCTATCAACCTCTGAATTCCTGCTAACCAGTTAGACCTCCTCCATGTCACCCGCTGCCTAGCTATGTTACATATTTCAGTGACACCCGCCCATCTGCCCCCTTCTCCCCAATCGCCATAGTCACCTCTTTTAACAGACAAGCTATCTCTTGCCATCAGTGAACCTGTGGTTAAGCTCAGCAGCCTTGGTGCTTGCAGTTATTTTTTTAACACCACCAATGACTATGAAAGTTAAAGCAGCTGGATTCCTTGATAAGGAAATTGTAAGTGTGTTTCTGGCGGAAGGAATCCCCAAACAGATTCCTCAATGAACCCTGTTAGAAATCCCTGTATTAGACCACATTTCCATTTTATACTGTCCTTCACCAAACCAGCAAATTCACTTTTAATAGAACCCAACCATTTCCAATAGATAGAATTGAAACATACTTTATTTGTACAAATGTTAAACAATCAAAGCAGGTAACTTAGAGCATTTGAATCAGCTTCCCTTGTTTTCCTCCGTTACAGGTTTGAACTTTCAAATAGCATCACATCACATCCCAGTGACAAGTAGGTGACTGATTCCTCATCCTGTATGATGAGGAGAAAGCACTGCTCTACCATTGTAAGTAGATTTCATTAGTTGCTTTTTACAGAATGTGATACCAATCACACAACAGGTTTGTCTTGTAGAAATGCTGATCTTGCTTTGAATAATAACTGAGTAGATAGATTTGCACACATTAGCAGTTATGTCTGTTGTGAGGCTGGCTGTATGACCCTTGTTTTGCTATGAAGTTTCGAATCCAACATTTAAAATACACATCTCAAACCAACTAATATATTTTGTTGCTCCAAGAGTAATTTCGGCACAGTTTTTATAAGCCAAAGAATCTCCAACAGTCATATTGAGCTGCATTCCCCTTTTCATTAAGTCCAGTGATCTGTGAGCATGTTATTTGGCTGTGCCAGGTATAATTATACACAGATACCCATCCCTTGGAGGACTGCAATGTCAGAGTATTCATTTATTCAATTAAATAATCTCAAACTCTCCTGCAAACATTCCCATCACAGCGCTTGATCCTAGGGAAAGCTGCTATTCCAGGATGAGGGATATGCTTGATTTCATGACAGTGCAGTGAAAGTTAAATACTCATGTATTATTCAGATGCATCCTCCATTAAGTATCTATACCTACTCAAATAATATGTGAGTATTATGTGCACCCAGTTTAAAAGTTCAACTTGCAGATGATAATAAAATGGCTGCTTGATGGGCATTTTTTCCCCCATTTCGATAATTGCCATGTGATTTGTATCAAGCAGATAAGCATCAATCAAATCCCTGCACAGTTTCTGTCAGATGAAAACCCTTAAGTGCACATATGGAGATAGTTGACTGGATAACATTGGCAAAGTCCTGCAGAGATAATAATAATCCTTGCATTTGATGTAGCGCCTTATCGCGTCTTTGTGATGTCTCCAAATGCTTCACAGAATGTACTGTCAAGTGAATTGACTGTATATTTTGTGGGTGAAACAGCAGCCAATTGCACACAGCAGTGTCCCACAAATCAACCACATATTAATCTTTCACTATATATAGACAGGCTGATTTGGACTCGTGATAATTTTGTTCCTGTCACTGGAACCGATAACTAGAGTTGCTGGTTGAAGCAGACAGACAAAGGTAATAATAATCCTTGCATTTGATATAGCGCTTTTCACGTCTTCTCTGTCTCAAAGCGCTTCACAGAATAGACTGTAAAGTGAATTGACTGTATATTTCCACACTTCTTGGACTCTCCCAGAATACCTTACATCTTTCTAATTCTTTTGAGATTTGGAACTGCTCAATCGCCTTAAACTTTTGTTTAACCTCAGATGCTTTTTGGGATCAAGCCATTTACTCCAGTCTGTGAAGGACCTTAGACTCTCTCTTCTGCTGGTGTATTCGTCACTCTTAATATCACAGCACAAACTTGACACCGGGGCTGTAAAACCTGAGTTCCTTGCATCTTTCCCCACCCAAATCCTGCTATGGTGTCACATTATCATGATTGTCCTGCGGTAGCACTCGATGCTGAACATAGGTGGTGGAAGTTCACCAATGGTGGTTGTTAAAAAGCACAATCAGTCTTGTGTTGAACTCGGTTGGGTGAGATATGAAATTGCCCATTTCAGCAGCCCAGGAGAAAGCCTGCAAGACAAATACTTGATAGATTGTTGCAATACATCCAGTAATCAAAGAAAATCAAACCTCAGCAGTTTCCTGGCCACATATAAACAGTAAATCATTAAAACTTGCTCAACAGCTCTATCAACCTGTTCTGTGAAGTCAACAAATTTAAATGAAATGGTTATTTTACTGAGCTACGTGGGTGGGTACTTACTGTATTTTGATGTCTTGCAGGACACACTCAGAACAAACGAGGCCAAAGGCTGCTGGTTTGAGGATCTAACCCCCCCACTCCCCCCTTACAGCGCTGAATAGAATCCAAAGCAAATGCATTCCAGGCAAAAAGACAAAACAAAGTTGCTCCCTCTCTCCCCTTGTTCAAGTCCCGCCTGAAAACCTTCCTTTTCGACTGTGCTTACTATGCTCACTCCCCTCCTCAGCTCGGAGTCAAGGTCAATAGCTCGCCGCTGTTCTGCTTGAAGGGTGCTATATTAATGCAAGTTATTGTTGTTGTCCATATTGTGGGCACTGTGCCTGGTTAGATATAGCACAGGTGCTGGTGCCTGTGAAGAAGCAGCTGCAACATTGAAGGCAAAGCTGCTATCCTCAGCGACACTATAAATGGGGTAAATCTCACTAACAACAGAACCAGAAGGAAAATTGTGGGGGTTTTTTCAGTCAGCTGGGTGTCTGACAAATGCACCATGCCTGAGATTCCTCACAGCACATCAGTTCTTGCTCCTTTTGTGCTATCAGCTACTTTCCCACAGACCCAGAAAGCAATCTAACCTGCCCTGGGCCTTTTTAAGCACCAATGAGTAAGAACTGGCAGAAACTTTCACACAAATTGTGTGTGATGGTCGCAAAGGTACTGTTGTACTGACCTCAATGAGTTGACCTGTGCAATAATCTCAGGAGTGGGTGGTGGATATCTGTACTGAAACCGACTTCCGTCAGCATGTCTCTGTAACTAACAAGAGAGCAAAAAAGGCAAACATCAGTCATACTATTCAATATCTGAAACCCAACAGGAAACTGGTTATCTTACACAAGATAGAAGCAGCTGAATATCTCATGTGATACAGTTGATGGACTTGCACTTAACTCTGAGTGTGCAAACTCAGCACCAAAGCTTTGGTGCCTCCTCTTGGGAGTATATATCAGTGCAACTCCTGCCAGCTAATTACAGATAGAGATGTCTGCAGATAATAATAATAATAATAATATCACGCAATCAGACATAACTTCAACGCTTAAAAGAAAAATGGTGGGGACAAAAAGTGAGGAACTTTTAAATGAAAATTAACCTGTCTTTTTGACTAGGCTGCTGTTAAAATTAAAATCTGCTAACTAGGAATGAATACATCGGCACACTATGCAGCTTCATTACCTGGTAACCAGGAAAACAGATCAGTTCAAATAGTAGATGGAAGATACTTCTCCTGCAGGGAGCTGTGCTTCTTATCCTGGGTTTAGTTTATAACAGCAGCCTGCTTGCCACTTGTAAACTAGACAAAATGGTCGTAAAAACAAGCCACATCTGTGCAGTGGATCTTTGGCATGCTCGCATACAGCCAGCCCAAGGGTATTGCAAAGTTAATCATCTGTAGAGCAAAGTCCCACCCTCTGTAACAGCAGCCTAGTCAAAGAGACAGGTGCCCACCTCAACCAGATAGGACATAAATCAGGTGCTATGGTCCAATTTGTGAGTGTATAAAATAGTATGTTAAACAAAACCGAACTGAATCATTGAACATGTTGAATATGGAAGCAAGTGTTTTATTAGGTTTAATTCACTTACCGGGGGATCTTTGCTGTGTTCAGCATGGGAAGCAGGTCCCCGCTCTGTGTGGGAAACAGGTAAACGCTGCCGATCAGAACACAGAGTCTTTGTGGGCCGCACACCAGAAGCCGCAACTCCTCGCCGTCTACGTGGTTGTGGGGTGGGTTTCACCATGTCAATATCCGAACTTGAATTACTTGCAAACACCATTTTTTCTCTCGTCTCCGGTGCATTTTTCCAACCATTCTCTTTAAATACTGACGGTGAATTTAGTTTATTCCATCTACATTGCTTTTTGCTGGACTGTCCAAGCTGACTGGTAGTGCTCACCCTACAATTATCATTGCCCTGCTCTTCTGAATCATCTTTTTCAATTAATGTCTCATCACTGCTGGAGTTCCAGTTTTCCTTGTACTCTCCAGCCCTGGCCTGTTGACAGAAAGCCTGTCCGTCCTCTTCACAGCTATCTAGCTCATCATCTGAATCCAAATCTTTTTGTTTCCTTTTAACAGCTCTAAGGATTTCATAGGACTCTTCGTCTTCACTATCACTTAAGCCACGTTTCTTTGCTTCCGGTACACAGTTTCTAGCTTCTTCGGTTTCATGAACTGTTGCACCCGGTCTGCTTTGTCCAGCACCTATTGGTGAGGTAGGAGCTAGCCTTGTAGTGCTGCTTGAACTACTGGCTGCAGCCAACTGCAGAGGGGAGATACTATTTTTAGAGAGGTTGTACTTTGCCTTAATGCGGTTGTTGTTTTTCCTATTGTCCTCAGGCTCTGCTATATTCGTCGTCTGCTGCCTTCCATCATCTGCAGAGATGACGTGTGTGCGCAAAAGGCTCTCAGTGCCCAAAAGCTCCAGATGTGACTGTTCGCCCTGGGACTCCTCTGTGTATAGATCTGCAGATTTGTCAAGATCATGTCGTGTGCTGCTGTCAGGCATCTGAAAGGCAATGGCTGGCCCACTGCTACTAGGAGCTTGTGAGATGGTGGAGAGCGAGCCACAATTATCTTCATCAACATGGTTTCTTCCAGGTTCTGATGTAGTTTTATGTAAAACAGACGCTGCTGTGATAAAAGTCAATGAGTAGGCAATTAATTCTGTCACTTAATTTACAAATCAAGCCATTTGACTTCAAAGTCCTCACCCTCACCTATAAATCCCTATGAACTCCTATCCCATTCTTCTGTTCACCCACTCTGCATGTTGCGAATCCTCTGCATTGTCATTAGTGTTTGATCCTTCAGCTACTCAGTCCCTAACCATTGGAGCTTTCTCCCTCTACCCCTCCATCTCACTCTTTCTCTATCTTTGAACCCTGGCGTAAAACCTACCTCTTCAACTATGTTTACAGTCCCCTCATTCTTCCACCTCCTCTCCCTTACTTGACGACCAACCCATAACTGTAAAGCATTCCAAGATGTTATCTTATGCGAGGAGCACAATATAAATGCAAGTTATAATAAATAATCCTGTCATTTATTAGTCATAATAAGGCCAATCACGTTTGGTGCCGCTGCAGTTGAGGGAAATCACGAGTACAAAACTCCAAATTTGTGATTAAGCAATTCACTTTTAAACAAATCACAACCAGGCACCCACAGTGTAAAGATACAGAGGGAATTACAGTGCAAGTTCCAAAATTTTTAATATTTAAAGTAGCACAACATCAATAGTGGACAAGATTTCATGGCTCAAATTGAACCTACAAGTAGAAATATTATTACTTGCATCAAATACCATTCTGACAGCTCAACCTTGACTTGTTCACACTTATTACAGAAGTGATCCAAAGCACTGACTACTCAGCTGAATAACAACATTGCTACAGTTCTTGAGATCAGAATCAGGTCCCAATGAGTATCTAACCAACAAATCACTTTGTGACCCCTTATATGATATAAGTAACCCTTTAGTGCTGAGTTCTGATTCCCCAAGTTGTTCTGTGTGGAATAAAATAGCTCAAAACCTGCATAAATCCAAATGCACCACTCACCCCCTGAAGATTTAACATTGACACCCAAATGCGACACTGACACCCAAGGGTCGCTCGAGGTGGCAGCTTCAGGCTTTTCTTTGGCATCCACTGAAAAAGGAATTTTTTTCTTCAGAGGGGTTGTGCAAGAGTCCTGTCCCATGGGTAAAGGCAGTTGTTTGCCAAACTCAACTAAGTGATTACTCTTCATGTGCAAGTCTAGACAGTAAATGATCGAAGACTATTTGACTAGACAGGGCATCAGAGCCAAGCACATCCAAACAATATGAATTCATAGCCTCCGATAGCTTGGAACCCTTCCCTAGCTTGGAACATGTAGGCAAACTGCAGTGCCTCATTTCTCACTATCCAACATTTGTAAAGGACTTGCCCCAACTATTTACTTCAACCGAGATAACCATGAACAATCATTGTAAGGGATTCCAGGTGGAATGTTATACACTAAATGTGACTGAATCATTACCACTATAGTCATTTCAAGTACACGTGTAAACCCCAGTATAAATTGAAAACCATCATTCAACCATCTATGACTTTCAAAACAGTTTAAGGACATGCAATAGAAGTTTAAGGACATTCATAGAATTATACAACACAGAAAGAGGCCATTCGGCCCATCGTGATCGTGCCAGCTCTTTGAAAGAGCTGTCCAAATTAATCCCTCTCCCCATAGCCCTGTAATTGTGTCCTCTCCAAATATCTCTCTTGAAAACTGTTATCGAATCGGCTTCCACCACTCTTTCAGCTAATGCATTCCAGATTCCGTGTGAAAAAAGTTCTCCTCACCTCCTCTCTGGTTCTTTTGGCAACTATTTTAAATCTGTGCCTTCTGGTTACCGACCCACCCACCAGTGGGAACAGTTTCTCCTTGTTCACTCTATCCAATCCACTCATAATTTTGAACACCTATTAAATCTCCCCTCAACCATCTTTGCTTCAAGGATAATAATCCTGGCTTCTCTTGCCTCTCCGCACAACTGAAGTCCCGCATTCCTGGTACCATTCTGGTAAATCTCCTTTGCACCCTCTCCAAGGCCTTGACTTCCTCTTAGTGTGGTGCCCAGAACTGAACACAGTGTCTAGCTGAGGCCAAACCAGTATTTTATAAAGGTTTCTCATAACTTCTTGACTTTTGTATTCTATGCCCCTATTTATAAAACCTAGTATCCAGATGCTTTTTTAACAGCTTTATCTACCTGTCCTACTACCTTTAAAGATTTGCTTATGTGGACCCCCAGGTCTCTCTGTTCCTTCACCCCTTTTTAAGATTGTACCATCAGCTTGTATTGACGTTCCTCATTCTTCCTCCCAAAATGCATCAATTCACATTTCTCCGTATTAAATTTCATCTCATATGTGTCTACTCATTTCACTAGTCTGTCTATGTCCATTTGCAGTCTGCTATTATCCTCCTCACCATTTACTACTTTACCTAACTTTGTATCATCTGCAAACTTGGAAATTGTACTCCCTATACCCAAGTCCAAGTCATTTATATAGATTAAAAAAAGCAGTGATCCTAATATCGACCCATAGGGGACACAACTCTATACTTCTCTCCAGTCAGAGAAACTGTTCACCACTCCTCTCTGCTTTCTGTCTCCCAGCCAGTTTTACCTACCAATCTTTCTTTCCAGTCTACCTTGGCTAGATCCCTTTTCAATTCACCTCACTGAAATTAGCCCTCTTCCAGTTGAATATCTTCACCTTGGATTGTTGCTTGTCCCTTTCCGTAAATACTGTAAACCTAATGATATTGTGATCACTGTTAACTAGATGCTCTCCTGCTGAAACCTGCTCCACTTGCCCTACTTCATTCCCCAGAATGAGATCCAGCACTGCTTCCTTCCTCGTTAGGCTGGAAATATATTACCAAGAAAGTTTTCCTGCACACATTTCAGGAATTTTTCTCCTGCATGCCCTTTGCACTATTATTTTGCCAGTCTATGTTAGGATGATTGAAATCACCCATTATCACTACTCTATTGGTTTTACAACTTTCTGAAATTTGCTTGCAGATTTGCTCCTCTATTCTCCTTCGCACTATTGGGCAGTTTATAGTATATACCCAATAGCATAACGGCTTCTTTTCTGCTCCTTAACTCTAACCACATAGATTCTGTTCATTAACTCGCTACGGTTTAATCATGCATTTTTTAAACACAAACTAATAAGTAAGAATCTATCCAGTTCTGGGCTAGATGGTACAATGGTTTGAAACACATGAGCTCAGATGTAAGGTATTCAGGAACTTGAATGAAATTACCACTCTGCCCACTTGTAATGTTTCTTGGGATTGAATTTTGTGGTCTCAGTCCAATTTCTAATACGTCTGAGGCCACATTACAACACTGAATATAATTCAACACAAATTGATAATATCACTCAAGAGACATGACAACAGCTAGTGTCTGAAACTGAATAATACAGAGCTGTGCAAAGGAGTAGGATTTCTTTTGAGTGGAGGAGTCGAGACACACTGCTAAATCAGAGTATAGGGGGCCTAAGATGATTTGTACCTGACCCAGGAGTGTTGGGGCAGACTCCAGATGTAAAGTTAAATGATATTCATTTGTATCAGATTTCTATCTCTAACATGTAGAGCACACATTTGTCTCCATTCTGGAGGCATGTTAGACAGCTTTCATCAGGAAGCTCGCAAGGAACTCTTGATACCAGCAATTCACCTAGTAAGGGTTCAAACTTGTGATGGTCAGATGTGAAATTAATAATTACTTACTATTACGTACTGGATGGGGTGGAGGGAATAGAGGGTAGAGGGATCTCTTTGGAGCTGAGCTGGCAACGAAACCCCGGAGACAAGTCAATCTTCTGTGGTGGTCTGGGTAGTCTGGTTCCTGAGCCAGGCAAGTCCGCAGCGCTCCAGGACACTGCTAATGATAATCTGATTCATTGGCAGGACTTTGAGAGGTAGGGATTCTTCCCACTCAGTTCTGTTATCCCTGCAAGCAAACGTGCCAAGGGATAGGGTGGTCCTAACGGGACGAAGAACTGCAAGCTTGCTGGAGAACATGCTCAAATGGTTTTAGCTTGTTAAACTCCAGCAATACTCCAGTGCACACTCTGGGTGTCCCTAAGCCTGGGCTCTTACCACTGAGCCTAATACTTAGGCAAGCAGGGTATGTGCCTCCATGGAGAGTGTGCACATTTCCAGACACAGGAACATTTCCGTGCATAGGTGGCATACAAAGATGGAACTCTCAGTCTGGTTTGGATACTCTTAAACAACAGTGATGGGTTTCCGTATGTCAGACACCCGACTAAAGAAAAAAAAATCAGGCAAAGCTTTTTCAAGGACTCGTAACTCCATTTTGCCAACATCTAATAGAAAACTCATTGTAAAAACATACCTTTCTTATCATGTGACAATGTATCTGCACAGCTGTTTTCCATTGCAGATTCTGTTGAGGTCTTATCTTTATCATACACATAATCATCCTTCCATTCTAAAGATAAAAAGGAAAAGGTTTTCACAACTCACACCAATGCCATTTGATTTCAGATAGTTCTAAGAAATGGAGTTAGAGAGAGTAAAATAAGAGCATTCCTTGAAGTTGTTCAGGCAAAATATGAACATAAAAATCTCATTTTAAAATCATTAACCACAAGTTGTTAATCTAAACAATCCCAGTTCCTAATGCTGTTTCAAGATCTCTTGTCTAGTTAACATCCAGGGTTAAATTTACCAGAGAGCAGCACTCTCATTTGTAAATGTTACAAGAATCAGGACGAAACACAATGAAATTGTGTGGAACTGGTTTAGTAGTAATTCAGGGCTAGGGTAGATATTTAGCCGAATAATTGTTCAAACTGTGGTATATAACACATATCTACAGTCTAATTATTTTTAAAAAATTATAAATCTTTAATTATAGCTCAGCATTAGAATACTGTATTGCAAGTTACAATCAATCACATCACTCTAATCAATCCACGGATATGAAGTGGGTATTTCTTTTTAAATACCCATATTTAGTCAGAAATTGTTGTACTATTAAATGGGTGATGATTTAAACAATAATGGAATAGTTTGTGAAGTAGAGGTGGCTTACATTAATTAGGACTCTTTTCGTCCACAGTCTACAAATTTCTGTAGAGTGATGCTATTAGGAACACATGATATTAAGAATATAGTATGGAAGATAAAGGCTATTCGACCATCAGTCTGCTCTCTTCCACCCACCAAGTTTTCTGAGAAGTTCTGCACAGACAATGTCTGATTCCCAAAGGTCATCAACTCTCACAACATTCATCCATCTTATCACCTGCATCATTCAAACCTGCAGCCTGCCAATGCCCCAAGCACCTCAATACGAAATAGCAATACAGAAAGCAACGCACAAATGACAACAAAATTGGGGAGGGCAAAGTATCAGAAGTATTACATTCTTATTTTCCATATTGAAATCAATTCTAATACACTCTTTAAACTTGCTCACCTTTTAAGTTATTCAGAATTTCTTGTTGGTCAGAGGAGATTATAAGCTCCGTTTCGGGAACAGTAAATGCGTTTCCTTGTTTCTGGGGAAAAATACAACGGTTACAAATGGGGATCATGGCAACGGATTTTACTATTCATCTCATCTGGAACTTTTGTGATGTTTTTCAGTCAATAGCCAAACAATGGATATTGTGCAAATATGTCATATAGAAAAGTGACCAATCTCACAAAAAAAGTTACAGGGAGATCTGAAAAAATCATACACAAAGCCAAAAGCTATCCAAATGTAAAGCCATCAACTCTTCTGCGTTTAATGCAAGTCATAGCATCTCCAATTCAATGTCAAATTTCACTATGAAACAAAAAGATGGTCTCGTAGTACATGTGTATACATATATACATCACATACATACACACAGAATATTCAACATGACGTGTGCTTTTCTGACATGATGAAAATGGGGTATCAAGTATTTACCCATTGATGAACAGCCACTACAAACCCCTCAAAGGGAAATTGGGAAATCAAATCGTTTTTCCGCAGAGGAGTGTCAGTCAACTCGAATTAGACTCACTTAACAAAATGAGAGCTTGAAATATATGCCATTTTAATCAATGCACTAACCGGTGGGCTGTCCCAAAATAGTATTTAAGCAAATCCCAAGTTACAAGCAACTGGAAAGAGGTGACAAGTCACAAGGTCCCAAGTGGAGAGTCTGTAGTGTCAAGCTTTTAAAGGGGATTAACAATTAGGTTGATTACATATGTGAAGCAGATGAGTTAATTGAAGAGCTGTGCCATTAAAACTATTTAAACCACAGGCCTTCCCCAATGCCACTGGGTGCAGATGTACTGTTGCACAGACCAGCCAGGTTTTATCCCTCGTCAGTGGTTAAGAGTTAGTTGATCTAAACCTGAGGGGTTACCATAATAGGGCACAGCATCCTTAGGCATGGCAAGGGGAGGGAAGAGAGACCTATGTCAGTCAGTTCCCATTCCTGATCGCTATCTAACATTAGCAGCTGGAAAGAGTGTGTATATATAACTGTGTATGTATATATATATAGCTATATATATATATATATATAGCTCAAATGTTTCCTTATCTTGTTGTTAGTACACAATTCATGGCAGCTAACTTACCATCCCTTCCTCTTGGGAACTTAACTGTTTTCCACTCAGTGCCAGTGTTCAGCACTTGCAGGTCAGTAAGAGCACAGGTTAGAAGCAGGGTCAGTTCCCTCAGCACTGCTCCAGAATACCATATGCCCTAACATCGCCACCCGCCCTGACCTCAGAAGAGCACCTCCTTTCCATTTAATTTCCCTTATGTGACCTCTCTGCCAAAACTCATTTCACTTGCAGTCATCAGAGAGGAGACTTTCATCCCATCAATTTGGTGTGGATTTGAACCCACAATGCAAGGTCACAATTCTCTATCCCACTGTTGCATCCAGCTCCCTGTTCTTCTGAATTATAATGCTCCTTGTTCTGAATACAAGCAACACATCTGACAGGATCAGTGGAAAATAAATGAAAACATGAAAATGCGAAATAAGTACCTTATCTTTTCTCCTCAAAGCCTCCCATCCTGTCATTTGACTGCCTGATGGTAGAAAGACTGCTGTGGAAGTTGAAGGCTCGGAACTATCTGATGCATCAAGGCAGAGTATGAGAGCATCTTTCAATGAATTAACCTCCTCCCCCATTGCTGCATCTATCAGGTTTGTGAGACTTATACCTGGGAGACAGACAATATAAATTGAAGCCACTATTCAATCATCACTGTTTACCAGCAACATTATCACTTCAAAGACATTCAGGCCATTTACAAGATACCATTAAATGTGAAGCACCATTAACATCAGACAAACTCTGATTACCACTCTAGGCCGGCCAGCCTGCCTGGGAGGAAGGTCTGTCGGCTCCTGGCAATCTGTCAAATGGAATTTATGGTGCTCATGGAGATGGTGCTGGACTTGACTATTCCATTCTCCCAGCAGAGAATAGCATAGATCCCAGGCACAACAACTTACATTGGTACACAGAGGAAGGTCAAACATGGAATATACTCCAGCTATACTCTTCTCTTTAAATTATACATTAGTTTAGGTCATCACTGAACAGTAGTTCAATAGGCAATGGATGATCCTGGCCACTGAATGTGAAGGATAAACAAACTTTAATAATTAAATTGGACAGAATATTGGGAATCTATTAGCCAGGTTTCCAGATGCTGGTCACTTTCCTGGTTAAGGTGAGTGTTTGGGGATATCAAATGAGGACAGGATTGGTCTCACAGATTACTAAAGTACCTGTGAATAGATGATTTAATTCAATACCCTGGCAAGAATTAGCACTTTTAAGAGAGAAGGGAAAGAAACAATAGGTTGAAAGGATTACCTGAACAGCTTCCCTCTGTAAATGTTGTGTTTTTCACATGATTCCTGTAACGTTTCGAAAGTGTTAAGCTTTGCTCTATAAACCTCCATCAAGCACTATTGACAGAGTTCCAGCAAGACTATCAAATACTATAAAATGCAACCCTGTGTAAACGTAAACCTTGGAAAATTGTTTTAGCATCTCAGCACCAAAATTACAATATGATTCAGTTTATTCCAAAACAAGTTGAGAAATGTTCTGTATAGTTCACTACATTCTGTTTTAAACAACAAATTTCAGAAACTGAAAAAACTCTGAGTTTATAAGGGTGAAAAGATAATGTTGATTTTGCTCAGGGGTTGAGGAAAATCTGCAGCGGTGCCCCAAATTTGTTATTTTTTTTCGAATTCCTCTCTCTACACCACTCTTCGGAACCTATTCCAGCCCAGCCTCAATGTCATTGTGGTCCACAAAAATGCCTTTGGGTTAGTTCATCCTCCAATTTGCTCACCTTCCCTTAGGGAAGCTATGCTTTAATATTATCATTACAATATTAATAATTCCTTGGATTTGATATTTCATGTTGGGAGGACATCTTCACGTGATTTGCTGTGACGTGTAGTAACTGTGTATTTTACAGGCAAACGAGGAAGCCAATTTGCACGCAGCAATGTCCCACAAACGGCTGTGATGTAAGTGGCCATTCACGAGAACAGCAGAACATCTCTCTGAACAACACCTTTAAAAATCCATTGTTTCAAATCGCCTGTTTCAGAAACCACTCTTTTTTTTCTGTTAACCCTCGTTTCCTTTTTCTGATTTAGGAGAGGTTTTGAAGCTCTCTCACCAACACAATGGAACGCATCGATTGGGAAGAAAATAGAGGAGTTTCCTACCTTTCCAAAAAGAACAGCAAAATAGGCCAGGGCGCATTGGAAGTAGTGATGCCAATTTATACAGTATACAAATCTATTTTTTTGATTGGTTTACTACATAATTACAGGAATCTAAAATTCACTCTATACACATGTAATTCTTAAAGGAACTTATAGAAAACCAATCATTAAGGCTTTAATTTAAGAATTTGGCAAATTGTGGATACTTTAAAATGCTACATTAGAGTAAATCTCGACTCAGGTGAAATTTCTCCCCAATGGTTCACACAGCTCGCATGACTGACCTCCCCCCCACCCCTTTTCCAGTTACAAGGAGGAGGGAATTACAACTTCAGCTTATTTAGGATTCATTATTAAGTGAAGATATGGTAAAACCTCAACATTAATTGCTGTGGCTGCACATTCTCACTAGTGAAGTTCCCTGTAGATTCAGACTGGGTACAGATGCTGTACTTACTCCCAAGCTTCCTTCAATCTCTTCTGCACTGCAGGATCCAAGTTGCTGAAATTTGAAGCAATGATAAAATTTAGCTACGCAAGGTAAATCAATTTTACACATTTATTATGAGAGATCTGTACTGAACACTACTTACCAAGAACGCACATCAGACCTGATGTTTTCTGCTGGTAATATCTTGAACTTCTCAACTACCAGATAAAATTCGCACTCTTTCTGTGCGCGTGTATGTGGGATTGGGGGGTGGGGGTGGGGAACAGAGAAAAAAATTAGCCAAGTTAAAACGATACCAACTTCCATTATGTGATGAAATACCTAACACGTGTGGAAACCCATCGCCATATTTAAAGAGTCTCCAAACCAAACTACTGAAAATTCAACACACCTTAAAGCCAGAGAAGATATTACATGCACGTTTGGCAAAACCTAAAGCTTGAAGACCTGAGAGTTTATATTGAGGAACTGCTGGAGTTTAACCAACTAAAACCACAGCCTCCTATTGCAAAGCTTCCTGCTGTGTGTTCAGCCAGAAACAAACAAACAACAAAACAAAATTACATCTATAGAGAGCCTTTCATGTCGGGAAGACATCCCAACGTATTCAGTTTATAGGATTACCAGGAGCCGAGTAGGAAGAAACCCAGTCCCAAATGACTGCTACGTTCCTCCAAGTCATACCAATGGGCCAGGCTGGGCCATTATCAATAGTGCCCAGAGTATTATGGACCTGCCTGCATCAGATCAGAGTACCAAAAACGAACAACTTGATTCTGATCTTTGGTGCCGGGTGTGTCACCATGGATCCAATTTTTCCCCAAAGAAACCTTTTTCCACCTTCCTCCCAGGGATAGCTTTATAAACATAACCCTTCCAAGTAGCAACGCATAGTTCATGATGACTGGCAAGTGAATCACAAAAAATTTGGAGTAACATATTTAAGTATATTCACAAATCAGCTTTCAATTTAAAGATCACAACAACATTACAGATCAATAGGCTGTGTTCCTGGTTAGATACAGCATTGCCTCTGATTCTCACGAAAAGTTTTATAATTCTCGAGGAAGTTTGAAATGACAAAATAAAGGTTTTGCACAAATTTATACAAAGGTTTACTCAAATGTGATAATGTTTTTCCTTTTTTACTAAAGTGCATGGATCACTTACCAGTTCTGGTTCCACTCTGAGGTGAACATCAAATTGTTTCAAAATAACCATTTTTTCTTTGATGTCATCAAATGTGTAATCATCCTCCTCCCTGGAAGTTGAGGAAAGTGATTGAGAAGAATGCGGCAGTTTTTTTTAAACAGAATCCAGCCATGTGTATCCATATATACAGTATATGACTTTTACACCTGAGAAATACTCTTAATATGAATGAAATTCATATTTTATCATATTAATTGATGAAACTTTACTATATTTTGTAAAAGGCACAGAATTACCAATACCATTAACAACGAAAATACCCAATGTCTTAGGTTTGTGGATGCAAGATACAAGATGTATTGCACAAACCGTGGCTTACACCACAAACACAAATGGATTACATGAGGTTATAGTGAAATGCAGTCCATCACTGCTTGCGGTATTAAGCATCACTGAACGAATAAGAGATATTAATTGCAAGTATAACAAAGCAATAAAAGCTTATGCTATTTTTGCAATAACTTACTGTTCTAGCTCTTGTTTGGCTCCTTTTGTCACCACAGCCTTAATCGTGTACTTGAGATCGGAAAGGTGGACAACTGCAGCAGGATCAAACTCTGCCTCCTTCTGCCACTTCTCAGGAGGAATGAACTGGGTTAAAAGAAAAAAGGGCATGATCAACCTTATTAAAAAAAATTTTTTTTAAAAAAACTCTTTACGTTGACAAGACTGATATTGGGGTCTGCCAATCCCAATAGCAATTCAACCTGCCAAACCTCATATTTTCAAATTTAAGTTATGAGCTATACTGTGATATTAAATGCATATCTAAGCAAAGTTATTTAATAAACAGAAGAAAGTCTAGACATGCAATTAGATGTGATTCTCCACCATTTAAATAAGGCTGCAAATTAGAGTACCGATATTTAATTCACATTTGTGATGGAGAACTAGAAGATGCCTTAAAAAATACTATTTTCTGACGTGAACCAACATTCCTGTTTACACAGTCTGCTGTGCAGCTAACGATGATGACATGTATCACATTATCACTTTAAAAGGAAGACAGTAAGTAGCCAAATTGCTCCTTAACATTAGGCAATCTGAGAGGCAACACAATTGTTTCTACATGTTTAAACACATTATGTGGGGATGCATTACAGAAGGTAATTTATCAATCAAATTACATAACAGATATTTCCAGCAAAACTGATTACAAACTGTACAAGATATTCATATTATCACCCGAAAAATGGAGATTATCACTTTTGAAGATGAGTACAAATGAACATCACGGTGGCTAGCTAGGTCAATATTTCTTGCACCCTGTGCCCGTTTCCAAATCAATTATAACATTAAATTAAAGCTTCAGAAAGAGCATTTCAAACGACATTTCATAAAATCATAAAGGATACAAAATGTATCAAATGTTGCTAAATACTGGTATAGTTATTCCATTATTTACCCTTAATGCTTAAACGCTGGGCAATTGTGTAATATAATGCAAATCACAGGTTTTGCAGGCACAATGTAATTTATAATCTAAGAGCTTGGCGTGCTTAAAGTACTGAACCTTTATGAGCTACATTAAGATAAACCAATATCTTCACAACATCCTTTGTCTATTTACCGTTCAAAGTTTACGATCAAACATATTTACAGACACGGAGCGTGTGAACAAACTGGTTCTGGGCTTTAATCTGTGAAATAGCAGTGTATAGTTTATGACTTCAACTGCCTGAAAACAGAAGAGGTCTTCAAAACCCAAATGAGCTGCAATTTAGTCACATATATCACAGTAAGAACACATCTAAGGACTATGTCTTAAACAGTGTTTTCACCAAGAAATCAACTGTTCTGAAACACTAGGATAAGAATGCAGCTATTCTTTGCAAATTCAAAAAGAAGTCGGCAAATTAAGGCGGTTAATTTAGGTGGCTCAGATATGCATTGAAATAGGTGGTTACCTCTTTCACCTCAGCATGTGCTGTTAGTAGGCAGCTGGTCTAATTTCTACAACAGTCACTGAGCAAGTTGCACAGCATAATCCATCTACAGAGGCCGCAGCAAACCTCGAGTCCAAGATGACCATTGAAATTAATTTGACCCAATTTGGAGGAATTGGCCATTCTATTACATGAGTTTTAAAAAAAACGTGTGCATGGCTAGGGAAACAAATTGTAACGTTATCACTGGTTTGGGTTTGAATTCAGTTCAAACAATCGGTCTGTTTCTCCCCCACCCGACCGACATCTGTAAGGAAACCAAGTGAAACTACTTTAGGCTTTCCTAATACAATTCCTAGTGCATACAAATTCACAGTAGAATACCAACTTCTATATGATACTAAATGTGGATCATCACTGCTAATGTAAAAGCACAACTTAAATCCAGTCCCTCACGATGATAGGACATTGAGATATCTATGCAAATTGGCTGCTCCACTCATTCACAACACACAGTCACTTCGTCTGACGTGAACAACACTCTATCAAATGCAAGGATTATTTTTAGGAATTGACCAGCACTGAAGGTCTCAGGCTAAAATACCTAAAATGGATAACCCCTCGCCCGCCCCAATTAACCACCCACCTGTATCCAAAAAAACTGCTAATGATGACTCCAGTCTGCCACCCAAAAAAGACTATTTTCAAAAGTCAGAAGATCTTTTTCTTCCAAGATAATTTAACCCCAATAGTCGCCTCAGATCCTCTCTTCAAGCCAGATAGGCTGCTATTAACACCCCCCCCCCCCACCCCGATCTCCAGTATACCCCTTGTAGCCTTTCGCTAAGTAGTTGTTACATTTAGGAGTTTGGCACCTGATAATAAAATAATAATAATAATAATCCTTGCATTTGATATAGCGCTTTTCACGTCAGGAGGACGTCCCAAAGCGCTTCACAGAACACACTGTAAAGTGAATTGACTGTACATTTGTGGGCAAACGCGGCAGCCAATTGCGCACAGCAATGTCCCACAAACAGTCGTAGATTGAAAATGACCAATTTATTATTGTTTTTGGAGGGATTATTATTAGGCGTGTGGAGTAAGGAAACTTGCCCAAGGTTTTGCCCTCTGCCTGGAGACAGTATAGTGTCTAAGAGCTTCGCCACAGGACAACATACAACTTACAATACAAATTTTTACATTTATATAGCACCTTTCAAGAGGGTCTTGAGGATGTACCCAAGACACTTGCATTTATGCATAAATTTGCTTTTACATAGCACCTATCACATAGAGCAATACTAAGTTTACAGAGATGATGATACTCTTGAGTATTGTGCAGGCAAACATAGCGGCCAATTTGCAACCGACGATGTCCCACAAATCGCCGCAAAGTTAATGAACGATGTTATTTGATGGGCTTTCAGCCGGAACACCAGGAGAAACTCCATATGGTTTTCGAATAGTGCAAAGACTATACACTTTGTAGGAGAAACGCGGCTGATGATCGCGCACAGCAGAGTCCCCAAAATAACAACAACAACTTGCACGTATATAGCGCCCTCCATGCCGAACGCCCCACAAATCATTGGACGTTCGCACAAGTCTGGGCGAGTCCCTGTTCAATGGGTAAATGTGTTTTTTTTCCACAAAAAAACAAAATAATAATAATGATTTGAGTGATCTGTGGCATAACCCCCCACCGCCACACCAAAAAATATATATTCAATCCTAGAAGATATATTTTGTTGGGCGACTGTAAAGGTTGTTCACCCCCACTCCACTCTCCCCCCCACCCCTCCACCTCCTCCCCCCCCCCCACCACTCCACTCTCCCCCACCCCTCCACTCTCCCCCACCACTCTCCCCCACCCACCCCTCCACTCTCCCCCACCCCTCCACTCTCCCCCACCCCTCCACTCTCCCCCACCCCTCCACTCTCCCCCACCCCTCCACTCTCCCCACCCCCACCCCCCCCCCCCCACTTTCCCCCCACTCCACTCTCCCCCACACCCTCCACTCTCCATCCCCCCTCCGCTCTCCCCCACACCCTCCGCTCTCCCCCACACCCTCCGCTCTCCCCCACACCCCCTCCGCTCTCCCCCACACCCCCTCCGCTCTCCCCTACCCCCTCCGCTCTCCCCCACCCCCCCGCCACTTTCCGCCGCATCCACTCTCCCCCACCCCTCCACTCTCCATCCCCCCCTCCACTCTCCCCCACCCCCTGCCTGGCGGCCGGGCCGGGCCGGGCGGGGAGCAGCGCTATGCCAGTACCTGGATGACCTGAGCAGGGACAGGTTTCTGGTGGCTCAGGGCCGCTCCATGGCTCCGCAGCAGCTCCGCGATCCACGGCTGCCCAATGGTCGGCCTGTGAGCGCTCATTGCTGGCTCGGGCCGGGGTGCGACCTGTCCCAAGAAGAGAGAAGGCGCCGCGGCCCCTCCCCTCTCCTCGGAGCCTGTAACCGCCGGAGCGCGAGCCTCACGCAGCGAGGAACGCACTCGAGTCCGGCGTCAGCGGCCGCCGCAAGGCCCGTCGGTCCCACCCAGTGCGCGTGCGCGGGACTGGCATGACTCGGGCTGCCCGACGCAAACGACGTGAAGCGTAAAACAGTGAGAGCAGCGTGTGACCTCATACACTGTGACCTCATACACTGCACATAGTGACCTCATACACTGTGCACATAGTGACCTCATACACTGTGCACACAGTGAGCTCATACACTGCACATAGTGACCTCATGCACTACACATAGTGACCTCATACACTGCACATAGTGACCTCATACACTGCACATAGTGACCTCATACACTGTGCACATAGTGACCTCATACACTGCACATAGTGACCTCATGCACTACACACAGTGACCTCATACACTGCACATAGTGACCTCATACACTGCACATAGTGACCTCATACACTGTGCACATAGTGACCTCATACACTGCACATAGTGACCTCATACACTGCACATAGTGACCTCATACACTGCACATAGTGACCTCATACACTGCACATAGTGACCTCATACACTGTGCACATAGTGACCTCATACACTGCACATAGTGACCTCATACACTGCACATAGTGACCTCATACACTGTGCACATAGTGACCTCATACACTGTGCACATAGTGACCTCATACATTGTGACCTCATACACTGTGCACATAGTGACCTCATACACTGTGCACATAGTGACCTCATACACTGTGCACATAATGAGCTCATACACTGCACATAGTGAGCTCATTCTCGACGTCTCGAAGCGCTTCACAGAATAGACTGTAAAGTGAATTGACTGTATATTTGTGGGCGAAATGCGGCAGCCAATAGCGCACAGCAGTGTCCCACAAGCTGTCGTGGATTGAAATGACCAATTTATTGTTGTGGTTTCTTTTTTGAGGGATTATTATCAGGCGTGTGGAGTAAGGAAACTTGCCCAAGGTTTCACCCTGACCTGCCGGGAATCGAACCCAGGTCTCTCGCTTGCAAAGTGAGTGCTCTAACCACTGATCTACAGGACTCCACGAGTTCTAAACCAAATGGAAATTCCAGAGGTATTTATTGGAGTGGAATGCGCACGTTCCCTGGAGGGACACATCTTGCTTACCTATTTCCGGAGAGTATCGAGCGCAGGTTGGCAAGAGCCAAGGGACCCCAGAGCAACGAGAATAGGGCACACGGTATTGACAACAAAGCATAGAGCACGCAGCAAATAGAAGAGAACATGCAGCCCACGGCACAGAGCATGCAGGATAGAGCTCACTGCAAAAAGGATGCAGCAACAAGAACCCAGCGCACAGCAAAAACACAGGACAGAGAACACAGCACAGCTGGGAATCACTTCCTCCCCTATGTGTAAAATAATTTTAAAAAGCCTATTTTGATTTATGTTTCTCTTTTAAAGAAAAACAAAGACTACTGCGTTACGTTGCAGTCTAATCTCTCGATACCCCTGTTGGCCATAAATGTTACTCCTAACCCATTTTTCAGCTTTGACAACCCGGTTTGGGGAGGGGGTGGAGGTGGATATACAGAGGCGAAAATAGAAATGACTTGAGGAAAAAAATGTAATGAAAATTACAAATGTAATGAGTAGAACACAAAATGCTGCCTGACAATCAAAGCACTGGGAGAAATTGCCAGGGGGAGGGAGGGGTGAGGGAAGAAAAGAGAGGGAAATGGTAAATATAATAGAAGGAATGACCAACCGTGAAGAAGCCATTTGTTGGAGAAAGTCTACTTGAAAAATGTATCTAGAGGAAGAAAGAGCAATTACAAAAGTAATACAAAATTGCAATGAGTACCATTTTAAGAACTTCAGTGAATTGTGTCAAAGCTGTTTGCAAGAGGTCAATGAAAGAAAAAGAGATTACGGATTTCTTTTTTACAAAGAAGGGTATGAAAAATAAATGAGTTGGAAAATAAACCAGCGTGAATTGATCTGTTTTCAACGATGTCTGTTGTGCTGCTCTGGGTCACGTGTCTGTCCTCTGTATAGTACTTCTAAACGTTCAGTGTTTAGTTCCTTTGAAGTCAGTTTGCTTAGATCCATGTATTTGTTATATTGGAGGTAATTTAACACGCACATTAAAAATAAGCTTCAGGTGTCTCTCCTTGTGATCACAATGAAAGTGACGCTTCTTTTGTTCCAATTATATGTAGGCCTGGCTCAGTTGTAGCAATCTCACTTCTGAGTCTGAAGGTTGTGGGTTCAAGCAATACTTCAGTACTTTGAATTCATAGTCGAGATTGACACTCCAATACAGTGCCGGGAGGTTGGGTGGGGGGTGGGTGAGGAAGGGCAGCATTGTGAGAGGTGCCCTCCCTCGAACGAAACGTTAAACCGAGATTGCTATGTGAAAATTGGCTGATACATTTGCTTACAAATACCTAGTCACTGAACTTCACAGTAAAATCTTGTGAAATGTGTCTCCTCAACATGATAACGGGCTATTATCAAATGCAAGGATTATTATTGTTATGATATCACAATGCTTTGCAAAGAAAATGAGAGGTTTGCTCCATATTATTTAATGAAGACAGTTATTTACACCGAATGGCCTTTGGACAGTCCTGCAGCCAGGTGAGAAAGCAACAATGCTAGAACTTACAATAAATGCTGGAAATGTACAACAAGCCGTTCTGGAAAGATAGAGTATTGGTTTGAGTATGATGTTAAGTGATGATTGGATTGGGCTTAGCTGTGGGCTTCTGCAATAAAGTAGCCTGTCCACGTTGGTTGTCAAGGCACATGCGTAAATAATGATCACTTGGGTAAGGTGCTGGAGGGTATACTGCACCCATGGAAATGCACTTTGAATGTATTTTTTTAACAGGTTGCACCACCAGGTGGCACTCACACAGTCAGAGTCACCTACACATGGACTGATCCTTTCAGATCCCAAAGCTGTCTGTCCAGGGAGGTGCCACTGACAAGTTAAGTTGCGGAGCAGACAGTGATAGGTCATAGTCTTGCACACTCTCTGCCTGAGGAGTTCTTCATCTCAGCCAGGGTTATTTGGGCAAGTGTTTCACTAGGCAAAAGGCCAGGGTCAACCCTCCCACTAAGCAGTTGCATGCTGTGTTGGTCAAGGTTCAGATGTGGGTCTCCATCGTACCCTAGCCTTACTTTCCAATGTGAAAGGTGCTATATAACCTTCTCAAAGATGTGACTGTGAAAATGGAGTTTTTAATGGTGGTTGCTCCCATGATGTTGAAGGAAATAAAATAATAAAAGATGATAATAATCCTTGCATTTGTTACAGCACCTCATCATGTCTTTGAGACGTCTTAGAGCACTTCACAGGATTTATTATCAGTAACTGTGTATTTAATAAGTAACTGTGTATTTAATAAGCAAACACAGCAGCGAAGTGAATGATCATTTTGTTCTGTGGAATTGTTGACCAGGACACGTGGAGAAACTCCCTTCACTATTCAAATATTTCCACGAGATTCTTAACATCCACATGATCAGGCAGATGGAACCTCGGTTTACCATCTCAGAAGGATGGCACCTCTGGCAATGCACTGGAATATAAGCCTATAATGTGATCTTAAAGTCCCAACATAGGGCTTGAACCCAATTAAGAGGTGAAAGAAGTGCCACCAACTGAGCCAGGTTGACACCCATGAGCAACACTCTCTGAAGGGAAAACCATGTCCCTCTAGTGTTACGTAGAATTCTTACACAGCTTTTTGATATTTTGTTTTCAAATCAGTTGCTGACAGCAGTATCCCTTTAATTGTATTTTTTTGATTAAAATAGGGCTGAGGAGGTAGGGAAGATTACATGACCGGTTCATTGCTACATATTATAACACTCTTATCATCTTCATTATCCCTGTGTTTTTACATTCTATTCCATTGACATCCTGATATCGTGGAACAAGCTGCTGCCATCTTCATACTTTACCATATTGATTCATTTCAACAAGTTAGTTTGGTCCATAGAGAATTATCTGTGTTTTTCCTAATATAGTATAACAATAATCCTTGCAATTGATAGAGCGCCTTATCATGTCAGAAGGACATCTCAAAGTACTTCACAGGATTTACGGTTAAATGGAGTGACTGTGTATTTGGAGGCAAACACGTCAAGACAATTTTGCGCACGGTAATGTCTCACTGTACATCCAGTGCTTGATGACAGAAACAAAATTGAAAAATAAAGTTATCTAAAAAGCCAAAGAACTTACTTATTATCTATGAGAATTCTTACACAGTCTGTACAGTAGGAACCTGGTTGTTAGTTGTTAGTCGATTGGGTGGTTCGCTTTACAGGGGTAGTAATCCCTCCATTCCCCCCCAAAATAATAATAATTTGGTCATTCAATCCACGACTATTTGTGGGACACAGCTGTGCGCAATTGGCTGCCCTGTTTCGCCAACAAAATATACAGTCAATTCACTTTACAATATATTGAGATGTCTTAACAACATGATGAGGCGGTATATCAAGAATTTGATATATGTTGAATTGCTGCTCTTCAGATTACATCTCAAGAGCTGAAATCTCATTAATAAACAACATGCACAGCAGCTGTTTATTGGAACTGCCTGTTCAGATTAAGCATTTAAAGGTTTTCTAATGCCCGTTTGCCTACAAAATACAGTCAGTACACATTACAGTAAATATTTTGAAGTGCTTTCCCCTATGTTTATATTAAGAGCGTTATATCAAATGCAAGGATTATTATATTATTGAAGTGTACCTTTTCTCGCATCATATTGCAGATGTATTCTTGTGCAACTGATTCTGACTGCCACGAGACCTGTTATAGCTGAGATTGTTAATTATAGACTGTGGCATGTGTCATTAAATGTTCTGCCTTACTTATAAGGTTCTTATGCAGACTCCAATGTGCCACCAAACTGTACCACTGACACAGTGTTTCATGTATTTATATGAGCTGTAACACAATCTCAGGAGTTTGATGGAAGAATAACCTGCTCATACCATAAGAGCTCATATTCTTATCATTAATGACATTATCAGAACTCCTTGACTGT